GTTTGGGGTCGCCAGGCGGCGTTCGCTCTGTGCTCCTCCCAGGAAGAGTCGTTTGGCGGGATGACGGAATCAAGTACCTGGGGGTTTACCTGGGGAAACTCACACGACGTCGCTCTGAACAACTGGACAGATCTGGCCGACACAATCGAGGCTAAATTACTGACATGGGCACGCCTCGCTCCGCAGATGTCATTCAGGTGCATCTCCTGCGGTGCCAGGGAGGATCTGCCCCACTAGTACTTACACTGCCAGCGGCTCAAACTCAATGTTCCGTCTTTTGGGGGACATCTTCAGGAAACTGGGGGTACCCTTCAACAACGGCAGCTTCGTATATAGGGTGCCTTACCTGGTTAACAAACGCCATGACCTCGCCAACTTCGCCTGTGCTCAGGCGAAGATGGCGGTGTACAGAACGAGAAAAAAGATGCTGGAAGTTGACACTGACGGCTGCTCTGTGGTGCTGGAGCACGCATACCACACACATGTCGGTGATGTGCACGTCTTCTTCGAACGCTGGGGAGCCGGAAAAGCCCTCTGTACTAGCGTGGACGGCACCCTCATGTTCATCTTCTGAAGCGCTCGCTCGTCAACGTGGCGTGCGCAAATGACCACCACAACCACGTGACTTTTCTTTCGTGTTGTGCGCGGTGCTTTTTAGTGCCACAGCGCGTGGATTTGTAACGTTTATTTTAATTTGTTTGCTGGTGACTGTGTATTTCATATCGAGATCGCCTCCAGTGCTTTTGCTGCTGGCGGCAATAAAAAGTTGTTTAAAAGTCAAATCTCTCCATCGCTCTCTCTCTCCATCGCTCTCTCTCTCCATCGCTCTCTCTCTCTCCATCGCTCTCTCTCTCCATCGCTTTCTCTCTCCATCGCTCTCTCGCGCGCGCATTAACATCCTCGTCGTACAACAAGGGATTAGGGAGCGCGCACATGCCGTTCACGGCACGCCGCTCGGATGCTTGCATTATGACAGCAGTAAATCCTCCACACCAAAGCAATGACAAATCAAACTTGAAACAACATCAAAGGATTCTGGCCAGATAAGGCACCTCTTCCGTGGCAGCGGCCAACAAAGGGATGCATTGATAACGTAGTGAGAAAAATAGATGGAACAGATTAAAGCCCGCTCGGAGCACATTACCAAAAACATGGTATTTGCGGGAAACTGTCGGGAAAATGACAAACGCTGACGGTGCGTGGCGCAGGAATCTGGCCCACGTCGAAGGATCCACATCGCAAACCTGATCCGACAAACCAAGGAAGACGCCGCCGAATGTTAACAATAAAAAAATCGCTGTGGTGATTACCATCGATCTATAATGGCCGATATTATGATTGATTATAATCATAATATCCATTGATCATTAATCAAATAAATGTCAGAACGTGAGATGTATTTTATTTCGCATTCATGGGTGCGTTCGCTCTGATCTGTTGTGTGTATTGTCTGCGTTCTATTGTTTTTAACAATACAATACAATGCATTGTGTTCGGTCTATCCGAAGCAATTACCTCGAATACAGTAACCCTTTTGTTCTGCCGCTTCAGGATATTCTGCACGGGTGGTGCGGTGCACATTAAATGACGATGGTGATATGGTTGTCGCAAATAACGCTCAAGAGTTGCTCTATAACGATAATGGTGACTAATGGGCATTCACTCCTCCAGCACATTTTTTTTAAGTATCGTGCACGATTCAGTGTCATGTGATTCATTTCGATCATCTATCATCTTTCGTCTTGCTTTGTACCATTTCGTTTGGATCGTTTTGTTTCATTTCCAATTGCTCCGTTGGCATAAAAGCAACGTTCGCAAATCATCTGCAGAAAAGGTTAATGAATTGCAAGAAATGCATTTTCATGTTGTACGCATTGAACTCAACGATCGATTTTTAACCGACGAATCGAAGCAATTGAACACTTGCCTCGTGGCTAGCGAAAACACAAAAAAAAACAATCAGGTTTCACGCACCAAACCAAGCGCCTGGCTATGGTAAAATCAACGCAAGCGCAATACAAGCGTGTGCGTGCGTGCATGCCACCATGATTCATACTTAATTTACACTACTTTTAAACAACAAGCGGGTGTTGATGGCATCTGGTGCCTGCAAGAATGGGGGTGGAGAAAGGAGTGGAGAGTGAGCGGACACGGGGAGGAGGAGGAGGAGGGGGGAGGTTCGGCAGTTCTCGCTGGGCGTTAGCACACACAGCGGAAACACCTTGCACAAGACGAGACACCTCCATCCGTCAGTCAGGATTGCTGGAATTAACGTCCAAATGACATAATTAAAACCATTTTGACAAGAGACGGCTTCGGAACGCCCATTATGCCCCGTTCGGTCTCTGCTCAAATGAAGGCCGAGTGTGTGCGTCACGTACATCTTTCTGCCAGCCAGACGGCCGGACTGCTTCCTCAAGATGGCTTTTTTCAAACTGCCAGGTGATTAATACCCATTCCCTTCTGGTTTCAACACATAGCTTTAAGTGGCGATGTGTTTAATTAAAGTGCCAGCACTTTTTTTTCCCTTCTTCTGAACAGCATTTTGTTTTAATTCCCTTCCTGCAATACGGCCTCTTTGAAAAGTGGGGAGTGCGCTTCGTAGAGATCTGAAGGTTTGTCGCGAAAAGTTATCGTGCCCTGTGGACACCGTTCTTCATACTCATTGAACTCCGTTTTCAAAACGGCAAACATAACATAAATTATCCCTGGAAATTAATAACGCTCTATATTGGCCCGCAATTAAAATTCTCAATTTGATCTTTGTAAAAATTTTCCTCCCAATGTTTTTCTTCTAATTGTGCTATTGGTGTCGAGTCGCGTGACAAAGTATCCGCGCGAAACTCTCACGCTGAGTCGTCTAAGAGAGTGGCCCATGGAAGAATATATTACAGACTTACTTCTGAAATTCCACCAAGTGACATTTTTGGTTGTATCCACAAGCTAGGGAGCACATGTCCCCACATGCCCTGCTGCAAATATGTGTTTGTCATGTGACAGACAAAGCAATATTTTTTTAATTCTCAGAGATGTAATTTTGCTCGCGTGAAAAATCTAATTTAGTTTGATGGGGGTATTTTTTGTATGTGTGTGTGCAGTCACTTGGTAGCTGGGCTGAGAGCGTGCATTTACTACATTGGGGGACTCAGTTTAATCTTGGTGGCTGAAACCTGGATTATAACCAAGGGCTTTAGTAGTGCCAACTCAGTGCCTCTGACCTTTGAAGCACCCGGCCACATTAATGCAAAATAATAATTCAAACATTTGTTTACATAATAATTTCCTGGAGTGATTGCAAAATGTCCTGTTTTAATGTTAAATGTTCATGACAATTTTGATTTTCATGTTTAATTAAAATCTGCTCGCACTATAAAACCGACATAACCCACACACACAGAAATAACAGCGCACAATATTATTAGGGAATTCGGTGACTGCCACGGGTTTATTCTATGACCCGTGGCAGGTTCCACTCGCCACTGATTTTAACCACAGCAGGCAAACTCGGGGAGCTGGGTTTACAACGCAGTGGATAATGAATGTATGCTTAACTTATTTCGCGCGAAGCCAATCGTGCTAAACCACTGTGCGACCGCTCACCCATGCTACGGTTAGGGACGAGAGGAATCGATGTAAAAGTCGCTGGTGCTGATTACCGAGTACAGAAGAGACCCCTTCTCGTCCCCCTTCCCCAAATCCCCTCCCAAGAAAGAGTGAGCGGGAGAGTCTGCGCAGGATTAAGACTGGACAAATCGCTCGCACCTGGGGTTCGTTTGTCAGCGAACCCACGAAGGCTTGTAAATGCCTCGTGTTAATCACACGGACAACTTGGCCACAGGGGGCAAACGCTTGCTTCTTAAGCAAGAGAGGCGATTATTTTTGTATATTTGAAAAGACGAGATTAGCAGGTTTTCTCCACGTGTCTTTTTTGTGCGCGTTTATTAAAATGCATCCTTCAAAAGGCTGACAGTTTAATGTCCATAAACGTCCCCGGGCTGACTTGAACCTAAAGGTATCTACTCAGAGCGGTGACAGCCTGTGCCTGCAATCCTCTTCAGTCTTAGACGGCCCTGAAAACAGCAAATATGACATCCACACACACACACAGCGTGTTTGTTTGGAAACAAAATAAAATTGTGTCCTTTCCATCGATGTTAATTAGTTTTCGTTTGGCAAAAACGGCTGTTTGCACGCAGTCACGTAACGTCGCATTGTGATGTGGCGGTGGCCGCTTGTTTTGTGGTAATATTCTGCTCGACAAATGCAGTCATAAATCACGCCACTTTTACTGGCACGAACAAAATGCTACATAGTTCGGCAGGGCTTTACAGAAAGAGCAAATAGGCCAGTGTCATCCCATGCATGACTGCTTATCCGAATCGCTACTAAGGCAAAGAGGAACAGGGTCACGTTTGTCATCTCCGACCCTATTTTTAGCAAAACATCCTGAGAATGCTATAACGATGACACAGCAATGACACTCATCACCCAAAGTACAAATTAGGCAACTCCACCACCACCACCACCACGTGCAAGGAGCTGCCATTAGCGTGGTTGGCAAAGGCCCTGGTGCAAGGTATGAAATGGGCAGCCCCCCCCCCCCCCCCCCAAATAAACTTTCCCCCTTTATCCATAGTCCAGTGCCTGGGGCCCTGCAACTTGTGGAGCTCCAGCGCAGTTGCACCGCCTGCACACTCGATGGCCGAGCCACCCGATCGTTAAATAGCTTGCCCGCGTGTACGCGTTTACGGTTACAACTCGGATAAGTTCACGAGGCTGAAGCGAAACGGGAGCGCGTGGAGTTTGAGCGGGTTGGGTGGGTGGGTCGGGCTAACGAACTGTGTTCACCCAAAAAACGTTGTGGGGGGGGGGGGAGTCTGACGTTTTGGGAGATAATTACAAAAGCGACTGTATACGTGAGCGCATGTTTGCGTGCGTGCGCGTGGCTGCAAGGACACACACACACACGCGCTCGCACACACACAGGCGAACAAAACGTCTTCAAATATCTTGAAATCTTTATTAATTAATCAAAATTATGTATTTTCCTCTGCACGGTAAATGTAAACACCCACCTTCCCAGATCCATCACTTGATAGAATGTGTGTTTACAGACAAACTTCCTGGCACGTTACAAGGCGAAAACGCGATCGTTGTTATTATTTGCATCTCCGTAATGTATTTATTTTCTCTTCTACCGAACGACATTTTGCAAAAAAACGTACACACTTACGCACGTGCGTTCGGTTCAGCCATTCGTTCGGTAATCCTCCTACGTCTGGATAGCTTCCCTTTGCCTGATTAGGATTAGGGTGGGGAACCAAGGGAGGGGGTTAGGGGGGCAGGGGCAGTGAATAAGAGAGAGATGCAAAAAACACAAAGACATCAATGCAGAAAATTGGACCAAAATTTTAAAAGAAAATTGTGCAAATAAGCTTTCTCGCGTAAATAACGAAGCATATTTTTTTTGTTTTTATTATATTTTGCATGGGCAATCATACAATCATAGTCAAACCCACTTCGTACGTGCAACGCCTTTTTAAAATCACTTGCATGAAAAGTTCATACAGACGGCGTGGGGAGACGCAGGGTTGGAATTACACCGAGACAGAAAGAGGAACACGTGGATTAAGAGAATATACGCATGAGGGTTCGAGACATCATTTTCACTGTAAAAAAAAATACGTTGGGTTTGGTAAGGCGTGACAGGTGGTCGCGATAGGGGACATGAGCCGGTGATCGAGACTAACGATGGAGTCGCAGCCAAGGGAGGAGGAACGCGCCCCAAAGAGGATATCCATCGTGGAGATTGAGCGATGAAACCGGCTAGTGGGCAGATGCTAGGTGGATTGCGGTGTTAGCTAAACCACCTCTTCGTGTGCCGTACCGGCTTTAATAGGTGCTCGCTAACCGTCTGTTAAGACTATATGGTGGGGGTGGGGGGGGGGCATATTTGCCTTTGTTATATCGCTGAACGGAGAGAAATGGAAATTGCTTTCAACCAGCAGTGGATAGATCACGGCTTATGATAACGATGATAATCATGACGCATACAAAAAATCAAGCTTTTAACCAAGCAACAGGTGTGACCCGAACTCACTGGGTTTTATTGCTTTGTTAGGCTGGAGATGGGCACTTAGCGAGATTCGCCCTCAGGGCCGTAATAAATCAGGCTAATGGCTCCGTTAATGGCTCGCCCGCACCCAGCACACAGGCGCATACTTGCACAGGAGAAGAAGGGGAAATGTTTTTTAGAAGAAATGGGGGAGAGAAAAAAACCCGCCGAGAAGTGTAATTTTCTTCATAAAACGTCACCGTACACGATGAGATAATTGGCAGGGCTCATTAAGGTCAGATTATTGCAAGGTAATAATGGTCGAGGTTATGACTTTGAAGCGCACAATGCAGCCCTCTCCACGTTTCCAACGGGTTTCGATTAATCTGGTCCGTTCCGTTGCGTTTTTGGCAGATGTGGAATGCGAAGGTATATCTGTAACAGTAGTCCCCCCCCCCACAGTCGGAGCCTGGAGGCTTGAGTTACACAACTGCCATCTGGGAAGTCGGTTATCAAAATTGGTGCGGTAATTACGGTATTTATAATGTCAACGTGATGGCCTGGCTGAGACCTCCCTGGTTAACTTCCAGCAATGTTGACGACTATAAACAACAACAGGTAAAGACTACTTATTGTACACGTAACATGCGCAGTCATATTTTGGCAATCCACTGCTGGATGATGCCCCCCTCCCCCAACGTTCTGATAGTAGGGGGGAGGGGGGGGGTTTGTTTGACCATACTTCCCCCACGCTGGTCATTTGCGGGTTTGTGGAAACAGGAGGGAAGAGACGTGGGAGCATAGAAGTACAGCAGAACGATGGATTTGTTTTTTCCACACGGCCCAGCACATAGCCCTGCAAGCCCTACGATAACATTTTTGGGTACGTCGTGGTCGCACAACCAAGCACTATCCAGGCTCAATATCTGCTTAGCTTCCGAGATCGAACGTGATCTATTGGGTGCATACCAGGTGATTAGGTCATAGGCATGGCCGGATTAACCCATAGGCTTATAAGCCTTAGGCCCTCGTATTTTATAGACCCTGCAAAAGTGTCTCCATTCCACAATGAGCGATGGTAGCGTGGCCATCGGAACATTCTTTGTCTTTGAATTACGATGACAGCATTCATGACGTGTGCCACAGCTAGAGCTAAGAAAAAAAAGCAACTGCATTTGTTTTAAGAGTGCGGCGAGTGATTTACGTTTCATGAATTTACCTTGAGTCGAATGCCTTTGTCAATTTTACATAGGAAAGTAAATAAATATCTTTGATGACTTCATCATTTTTGTTTGCAATATTTACTACATACATATGCCCTTACTTCCTATGAGCCTTTGGGCACTCATAACCTTATGTTCTCTCAGTGGTCACGTGGATTTTTCTCCGGGTCCTCCGGTTTTTCCTTCCACATTTAGAAACGTGCGTTTACCGTATTTGGCTGCTATAAATTTCCACACAATAAGCCACTTCGTTGAGCTATCATTTGTGGCCAGGTCACGTCTTAAAAAGAGCTGTATAGCTCAGTGGGCTTTACCTCGGAAAAAAATATAGTTTATTTTAATTTTTAATCCGGCCCTGGTCATACGTAAGACTTAATCATTTGATTCAAATTCCTCTCTAATGGAGCTACTTTCATGGATAGCAACAGACGTTACGTGAGCATACTGAACTCTTTGTCACCACGCCTTGCCCTCTGAGCTGCTGCCGAGGCATTTCCCCCCAAAAGTTTGGAGGCTCACAAAAGATCGCTCTGTTGGTCGCGGCACTGGCAACGACGAGGAGCCACTCTCGTGCACATCGGAGCCCCGATTACGAGAGGCTTGAGCAGTATCGCGTTACACGATTGGCTGACGGAGCAGACACAATTGTTTATTAACTCCTCGAGGCATTCGCCATTTGTTTTTTTTTGTAATCCCCCAATTATTCGCCATTTATTAAGTGACCAACCTGTCAAACGTTACGCGCTGGCGAAGTGGTGGACTTAGGGACAGAATGAAATGCAATGTACCACTTATCCCAACACATTGCATGTAAACCTTGGTGTAAATCCCCAAAGGCAAGCCTGTGATGGCTGTTAAGGTTACAAACGGCAACAACTATATTTACATTGCCAAGAAATGTAAATGGGCAGGACGCGTCGCCAGATGCAATGATGGCCGATTGGAAACGACTGGTGGCAGACTGGCAAGCCAAAAGATGGAGGTGGACAACCACCCTGGAGATGAAGCGGTGAGATCAGTGCAGCCGCGAGACGGATGGTCGTGGCGGAATGTGAGTTCCCGGCCACAGCTAATATCGGTGGAGAGTGATATCTGAAGCAGTCCGGCCGGGCCAACCTCCTCCGACTTGACAAACTCGCATGAACCAGCATGGTGAAGTCTGGCTAAACAATCCTGATGAAACGGCATCAGGAGCAGTGCCGGATTATCCCAGTAGCAAAAGTAGCTACATATGTGGCTACGGGCCCCGCACTTTCAAGGGCCCCACGCTAAATGCTTTCAAGCTATCATTTCCGGTTCAGTGATTCTGCACTTGCTCTATTACTATAGTACTATACCGCCTTCAACTTCTATGAACGACTGGTTGTTTAAGGTTAGCGATTTGTCGTATTATCTGGCTGCATATCAAATGAAAAAAATACAATTACTCTACTATGCAAGTAAAAAAAAAGTGTGTGGTTTAATATTTATGTTTTTTTTGCATATAGGGCCCCTTTATAACAGATGCTACAGGCCCCGCACTAGCTTCATCTGGCACTGATCAGGAGGCCTCCATCCAGCAGTGGACTAACAAAAGGGTTGTAAATTATTGTATTAATCAGCAGCATAGCATGGCTGGCGCGGGGTCCCTTGCCCAATGTTCTTTTCCCTTCGTAGTCCCCCACCTGGGCCCTCCTCTGGCCCATGCCCACACATGCCCCCCTCCCCCCAGTGCGGTTGCACCGCCTGTACACTTCACGGCTGCGCCACCGACGCGGACACATATCTGTGACAGCACCCAGCAAAATGCAACTCGTGCGGTGTCATACATTTGCGCTGACCTGGCCAGGTGAAGCCCGATACGCCGAAGACGAGAATAGGTCATAGGATGACCCCTGTCTTGTTCCAAGGAAAACAGGGACGCCTCTTCACCTTCCACCGTCCTCTCCGCCTCCACCCCGACACCAGGGTGTTCCTGCTTAAACCTCCCTCTCAGCGTCGGGATTTCTTTCAGCAGGGAGAGATACGTCATGATTTCTGGCGAATGCTTGTCAAGGGAACACCCTTGCCGAGGCCACGGAGCGCGACAGCAAAAGAAAGTTCGCGACGGCGGCGCTGTCGAAGGTTCTCGACGACAAGAATCGTCGGTGAACGAGAGGCCCATTCGCATCGAATCCGTGTCCTCGTGTAATAACAGGGCGCCACGGTGGTGAGATGTTAACTACCTCTCCTGGTTTACAGGAGGTTGTGGGTTTGATCCCGGCTCTGACGCCTGTATATTTGGAGTTTGCATGTCTCCCTGTGGTAGCATGGATTTTTCTCCGGGTCTTCCGGTTTTCCCCTCCACATTTAGAATCAACATGCGTTCAGAGCAGTGGTTGCGAAATGCCCTTTCTGAGAAGCAAAGGGGTGCGTGCCGGTTGCAGTGAAGGTTAAGAAACATGCGTTTAAGAGTATTTGGCTGCTATACATTTCCACATGATAAGCCAGTTCGTTGGCCAGGTCGCTTCTGAAAAAGAGCTATACAGCTCAGTGGGCCTTACCTGGTAAAATTAAAAGTTTCGTTTCGGTCGCACATTGTACTTGCAATGTCGACCGTTTAATGTCCCGGCGGAACAGTAGTAAGGTGAAGTGTGGGCACTCCCACCTCTTCCAAGACGTCTGGCCAGTCGTGGAAGAGTAGGCCAAATACCCTTGAGAGGGGCTCTCTAAATCACTCTCTGTAGCGGAGGCCATTCTGCTAGCCAAGTACTTTCAGGGCTGCACCCTTATCTTTTTTAGCCACTTACTGCGCACGCATGTAAATTGCCCAAGAAGATCATTCGGAACAAAATAATGGGCATATTTTGGGTTAACCACCCACACGATTATGCTGGGTTTAGGAAAGGTTAATCTACCTTTGGACACACACCAATACTATAAATCGTATTCTGGAAAAGACTAATAGTGAATTAAAATGCGATTATGGGGAGTCTTTGTCGACATTGAAAAGGCGTTTGATGTGGTGGGAAGCCTTCCCTGACCTCACAAAGCAAATTAATAGCCTAAATACAAAATAAATAAACATGTTTAAGTAACGACGCAGCACATTGGAAGGGGAGTCGGACCTGGAGGTGCTCCTTTGCCAAAGGTGTTTTTCACAGCGACATCATAACATGATATTAGAATGTGATTGGAGAGAAAAAAGAAAGGAAACAAACATAAACAAATAAAATGTTAACCATCTCAGGTTTGATGATGATATAGTCATTATGAAAACAAGCAGGCCACACTCATATATATATGGCTCAGTGGGCCTTTCCTGGTGAAATAAAAAAAACAAGTTTAGCTTCGTAAATGCTCAATACTACCTCACTAGCACCAGCATGACGCTGTCAAACCGTCTTGAGAGAGCAGGATGTTGAAAATATACGTGCCCACTTATTTCCTTACCTTTCATCATCATCATAAAAAAAAGAAAACCAGAAAGCTGCTTGGCATCACTAGGCTGACGAGTTTTAGTCTCAAAACTTTTCGACAGCTCCTCCGATTTATACCTGTTGTTATACCGTTGACAAGAAAAAGTTGACGCTTGGATGTCTCCATTGTTGTATCAATTGTTGTCTAAAATTAGTCTGGACGTGCTGTCTTACTTGCTTCGCTGCGTGCTGCAGAACTTGCGCTCTGCGAGGGAAAAATACGCGCGCCGTTTAATTTGCTACGATAATGATGCGCGGTGCGCTTTCATGCCGGAGCCCCTTTTTTTCTTTGCTGTTTACTTCTGCCGGGACGGACGCTGCGCATCGCGGCGTAGCAGCTCTTCGCACCTCCTCTCGCAAACGGAGGGTTTTGTCACCATTTTCGCACCTCCTCTCAGGCGGCGGCCTAACGATTACATCCGTGCGGATTCGAAGGCCCGCTTTTGCAACTGGCGTGCAAAATATGTAAAAAGCAATACATAAAAAAATACATACACCGGCCGAGGCAATAAACCACGAAACAAATAGCCGCGACAGAGCGCGTTTGCTGTCTAACTTGCGCCGAGCGGCGGTCAAAAAACATTCCGGGAAGGAAATTAAAGGTGTATGAAAGCTCACACTTGTTATTTTTGTTTTTCAATGCACTCATCGGTTAATTTCAAACGCGCGCGCCTTCGATTAGATCATTACCACGTATATTTGGGGCTTCAAAATAAAGCAAACGTTATATTGGTGTCGACCTGTTTATAGACCTCGCGCTTAAACCGTGTCCATTGCTCTGCCGTCAAACTCAAAAGCGCGCTCGCGCAGTCCGGCCTTTCGCGAACTCTGCTGCGAAATAACCTTTCAGATCACTGTTATAATTCAGTAGGCTCACATGACATTGACTTCTCCAACACAGAGGTTCTTTGCAAGCCATCTGGCTACCATGAAAGATTCGTCCATGAGGCTATCCCCATATACAAGCACAGAGACAATTTCAACCGAGAAGATGGATTCTGCCTTAGCAATCATTGGAAGGATTTGATAAACCATTTCGGGTCTTCATTGATTGTTCACGCTTACGGTGGCTTTCAGACCGCATCCATTATTTTCGTCTCCCCCATCCTCTTTTCCGAACATAGATGGACTCGTCCATTTGAATAACTGCCAAATCGCTCTCCGTGGTGCTAACGTTAAAAAAACAGCCACTTTTTTCAAATTTTCTTGCTGTGGTTTTCATACCTGATGATGATTGCTTGTGTTGCAGTCGAAACGTCGTGATAATTTATTATTTTATATTTTTATTATTTTATTGTTTCCCTTCTACGTGACTTTACCGAAAGAACCAAGAATATAAAAAAGGCAGTTAAGTGTTGGTGGCATATTTATGAATTGTTTAGAAATTGGAATAAAGCTGGTAGAGAAACGTCCACCAGCGTGTTTTGCTTTTGAGAATCTGAATCTGATCACGAATTGTGGCATAGCAATGTGCTCGAGAGAGAAAGGTTTCAATCAGTGCATACAGCAAACCTATTAAATATGGATCAGAGCACATGGTACAACTCGACATAGGAGAGAGAACAAAGCGTACGTATGTTGAACGTCTTTTGCACCAGATATAGCCAACCGTGCTAATCGTGAAAAAAGGCACGCAGAGATACATGCTGTGGGCGCCATGGTGGTGAGATGTTAACTACCTCAACCGGTATACATGAGGTTGCAGGTTTGATCCCAGCCCTGACGCCTGCTGTATATTTGGAGTTTCCAAGTTCTCCCCATCGTAGCGTAGATTTTTCTCCGGGTCCTCAGGTTATTCCCTCCACATGTAGAAACAACACGCGTTTAGAGAATTTGACTGCGATACATTTCCACGTGATAAGCCACTTTGTTGAGCTATCATTTGAAAGAGAACTATATAGCTCAGTGGGCCTTACCTGGTAAAATATTTTTTTTTATAGTTTAAATACACCGAGAGGCAGAAAGAGAAACGCGTGGACTAGTTTGTTGCCCTTCCCCCGCACCTCTGATTAGCACAGTTGGCTATGCACTGTGTGAAAGAAGTTGAACATACATCCATATATATCGGTGATGGTAAGTGGGCTTGAGCAAGACACACGACACGGACACATGTGTCTCCCGAGCACCAATGTCTGCGCACCATGCCCCAGGTACTTTTCATTTTGTCACCCCAGTGGGGATGAAGATGACGGTGACGATGATTACAGTGATGGTCTTTATTAATTACAATGACGGTGGCAATAGTGAAAATTGCAGGGAAATAACGACGGTGTTTATTGTAATGACGATTCTCATAATAGTGATGATTACGGTTATTATAATGATGACAGTGACGATGACAACCGATGGGGATAAGAATATCAAGGTTACCGTTTGCGCGTGTGTGTGTGTGCACGTGATTATAATCTGCGGCCAGGATACGAGCCACGTTCTGCAGGGGGATGTTCCCGCTGTGCAGCCGGGCGGCCGTCTGCTGCATCAGGTGTCGCCACAGCTCTTCCCCGCCGGCCAATGGGGAGCCCTCCAGGGCACCTGCCAGCTCCGCCACCGTCATGTGACCCACCCCCTTCCCAGCATGCACCGCAAGCCTGGACTCCCACTGGGAGGCGCTCACACACAGACGGGCGACAGGTCGCACAGATTAAATCAACTACATCGACGCAATTAAAGCAATCATCCGTCCCTTACAGCAGCTCATTAGTGATGACGGCTCCAAGCAAATGTCTCCCTTTGTCCTCTTTCTTTATCCGTATTACGGCTTCATTCAGTCTCAAGCCTCTCTTTTCTAGGCATTCTACCGCTGCATCTATCCACTTAGTTGTTTTTGTCTTCCCCTTTACTCCTTTTTCCCTTCCACTCATGTGTGCATCGCCAGGTCTGGGGGTCCTGTCTGGCGTCGTGACGCAGGATGCTGTTTGCACACGGAAGCATCTGAAGCAACGCACGAGCACAATAAGACGTTTTGGAGGGAAGTGTTCATCTTAAACCCCAAGAGCGATCAGGCGCACTGATCTGCAATGAAGTCAAATTATAAACACAATCACATTGTCAAATTAACATGTAGGCTTTCGCGACCAACATCATCCATAATATAGGTTTCTTTGGGTCAGGTCGCGTAAATGTGTCGTTAAACCCGCCACCACCCGACACAGCCAATTAGTAAGGTTTGTCAAGTAAACAGAACGTGGCCAATTCGTCACTAGTACAGCACGCCGGTGTGTTAGGGAGCAAAACCACAACATTTACAATCTGAGTACGACGTTTCGCCAGTAATTACCACAAGGATCATCAGGCAGACAGCCAGATTTGTGGAGAAATCCTCCTATTTCGTTTCATAAATAGAGGGATAAATGTGATGACGTCCCTTGTGAGCCCTTCACATGCGAATGGGGGGGGGGGGAGGATTAGTGAATGCATATGAATGACAATGGATATACATTGCTGCTTGGGTTATTCATATGGTAATCAGCGTGCATTATGCAATCATATTGTGCTCGCCAATTGCTCAAGTCTGAAGGCACTTTCTGCAATGAGTGAACACAGAATTGTCAAGGGGTTCCTGGATCGTCGATGCTGCAAGTATTTGGGTGCAAAATCATCACGCACTTGGCAAGGAAGAGGGGGGCAGTGGTTAGCTTTGCTGAGTATCATCAAACGTCAGGAGGCCGAAAATAGAATGATATGTTTAGTAATATGTTCCTACACCTCCGATTCGCACAGTTGGCTACGTACGGTGCGAAAGAAGTTCAACATACCATACATAATATGTTGTAAATATATCATGACGTTATGTAGCGACAAGTAATTGTATCGTGGCGTGAAGCGAGCTACTCAACGCCGTGCTCAACTACAGGCTGTACGAGCAGAAAATGCACCGCAGAGCTCGATTCAATAATAATAACAATAAAAAAATAATAGTTACGGCACCGAACAGAAATGAGAAACACGGGACGGGTAAAATCCAGCTGCGCGTAAAAGCAACCCAGCGACTCACAGGTGTTGGGATGTTTGTTGGTCGTGCGTTACGGCGGGGTATTATATTGTCGCACTCGCTCGAATTATAAGGTGGCGGAGAACGAATGGGAGGGGACAATGTAATATTTATTCTGTTGCCGCACTTATTAAACAGGTGAAAAACTAATTTCGGGTCAAATAAACGTAAACGCGCGGTTTTGGATTTCATCGTTTTGTGGTGTTCATAACAGAGAAGAGGATACGGAGAAAAGGGGGCGGCTTTGAAACGTAAGAGCCACTGTACTGATTCAAACGAAACAAACACAAATTGGCCACGATAAATAACAAAGCAATCATACGGTGTGACACAACAATAGCGGTGGGGCGGGGGGGGGGGGCTTCCCTGCAAATTTCAAACCGTATCGTCTTTAAGAGATCGCTTTCAAACTGCTGCCTGTTAACCACACAATACTCCGAGTGACGGCCACGCAGACGCCGTGCGATTGCCGACAGCATCCTGGCCAACGCCGCTGTCCGTGCGGCGTGGACGCGATACGCCATTTGGTGCGATGCACGGTGCAAACCCTGCTTCGCCGGTTGACTCAACCCATCATTGCTCCCCGGTTGATACAATGACAACCACTGTGTCGGGAAGTCAACAGTGGGCCGTCCTATGGATCCACTGGCCCCGCCATAGCATTGTGGAATTTACACGACTGGCTCAGGGATGGTAAAAAAAAGATCTGAGCACAACCTCAATGCTCATTTGAGTAGGAAAATGTATTATAATGCAATGTAATTCACGGCGCTACGTCAATCCACTACTGGCTGAAGGCCACCCACACCGTGTCCGTGTCTGCTGTGGGAATCATTTCACCCATACTTCACCACGCCGGTCAGTTCAGGTTGGTGAAGTGGGGTGGGGGGGGGGGGCAGAGGGGGGGGTCCTATACTCTTCTTTGGTTCTTTCGGTAAAGTCACGTAGAATGAGAATAAAATAATAAATTGATAAAATAAAATAACACAATAATAATTTTATTTTATCAATTATTTTATCAATTTTTTTTTATCAATTTATTTTATCAATTTATTATTTTATTCTCATTCTACGTGACTTTACCGAAAGAACCAAAGAAGATGAATCATTGCAGTCACGAAAGCTTTAAATCGAAAGGGGTCCTATACTGTTAGGTATCACCCGACGCTGATGTTATTCCTGGCCTGGAATTGGAATTCAGGTGGAAAGGTTGATTGCGTCCATGCGCTAACCACCACGCCGCTGCTTGTGACGTGAGAAATGTCACGACTATTAATATGCAACAAGCGTGGTCATTCGCAGAAAGGAGCTCTGCGTGAAGCAGACACACGTTTCAACCAAAAATGCTTCGTGACGTTATAACAATTACTCTCCACGTTTGCAACGTTTGGCTGACAATTCAATAAATGGGACCTCCTTTGCCAGTACCAAAATATGATAATTGGTTTTTCCCCTTTTTTTCTGGCAAAAAAACAGGTGTTACGATGTTAAAACACCAAACTGAAACCTTTTACAAGGAATCATGTCTGCATTAACCACAATGCTTGCGGTGAGAATGCAAACAAAAAAACTCTGATAATATATGCATTGTCCTTGAAACTGATTGGTCCACACCAGAGACAGCTTTCTTTTGAGCCTCGTCTCAAACAGTGTTCGACCTTTTGGCTGTCTCTGGTGTGGGCCAATCAGTTTCAAAGAAAATGCATATATTATCAGAGTTTATTTTGTTTGCATTCTGACCACAAACTTTATGGTTAATACAGCCATGATTCCTTGTAAAAGGTTTCAGTTTGGTGTTTTAACATCTTAACACCTATATTCTTGGTTCTTACGGTAAAGTCATGTAGAAGAGAAATAATACAATGATACAAATAAAACAATAAAATTCTCACGACGTTTGTTTTATTTGTATTATTTTATTATTTCCCTTCTACGTGACTTTACCGTCGTGAGAATTTTATTGTTATTTTATTTTATCAATTTATTATATTATTCTCATTCTACGTGACTTTACCGAAATAACCAACGAAGGAGAACCAATAATATTAATCCTTGCAGTCACGAAAGCTTTAAATCGAAATCTTAACACCTGTTTTGTTGCCAGAAAAAAGGGGAAAACCCTATTATCAAATTCAATAAATGTTTTGGAAATTCCCCACCACCACCACCGTCAAACCCCGGTATACAAAACAACGTGCTCGTAATGAGATATGACAAAGCATGGCAATTAGAAATACGTTAGGCCGAAGATTACAACGTCTGGTTCTGTGGGGCTCTTTATTTATTCGTTCAGTCTGTTAAATTGTTATCGTCTTGAGTTCTAAACAAACCAAAACTTATGCCATTGTGTCAAATAATTTACGCGCGTATCCTGGGCAAACGCAACCGGCTCAACAACAGCGGAGTGTCGTTATATATTCTCAGACCAGGAACACATAAACCTTGGTCTTGTTACGTAAACATTTAAGAAAGGTAGCATTTCCAGCTGCTCCCCCTTATTTAGTTTTTCATCCGCCGATCTCCTGTGTGTTTAGTAAAGTGTCACGCGTGATTAATATTAAGCCTTCTGTCTTTACACCGTAACTAACACCCGCGTATTATTTTGTCCCTGGCGCGGTGGTTTATTGTTCCGCTGTTTACACAATGTGTCCACAAGGCGCCAACTGATATCAAAAGCGTAGTGTCTTTTCGGCAGAGTCAATATCGAGAATAGTGTAATTACAATGAAAGGTTTGACTGATTTTGAACACTTGATGACATACATACAAGGTTGTCTGTGGCCCGGCCTGGATGATGTAAACAGTCATAAGCCATTTAGTTTGGCGCAGTAGACAAAGCTCTAAGCTCATTCACTGCACGGTCCTTGAGCCATTTGCCCAGAAGTGCCTTATGGGTACCCCATGGGGTGGCAAATACGAACTAGTATTCTCTAGAACCATGTTCTATGTTATTAATGAATCTTTCGGTAAAGTCACGTAGATATGTTCAAAGAAAATGATCAATAATAACAGAAAACAACGATGTTTCGATCGCAACGCAAACGCAAGCGTTGCGATCAGTATGTTATAGCGTTGCGATCAGGGGCGGAGGCAGGATTTCAGGCCGGGGTGACATTCAACAAATATTAATTTCAAGAATGATTAGAGAGTCAGGCTGTTGAACTAGACGCCATCGGTTGGCGACACACTCTGGACAATGCAGTTGCACGGAGTCCGCCAGACCGAGTGTCGTACAATTATAACGCAGAATGTCACCCCTGTCACCCCCCCTGGCTCCGCCCCTGGTTGCGATCGGTATGTTATAGCGTTGCGATCGGTATGTTGTAGCGTTGCGATCAGTATGTTATAGCGTTGCGATCAGTATGTTATAGCGTTGCGATCAGTATGTTATAGCGTTGCGATCAGTATGTTATAGCGTTGCGATCAGTATGTTATAGCGTTGTGATCAGTATGTTATAGCGTTGCGATCAGGTATGTTATAGCGTTGCGATCACTATGTTATAGCGTTGCGATCAGTATGTTATAGCGTTGCGATCAGTATGTTATAGCGTTGCGATCAGTATGTTATAGCGTTGCGATCAGTATGTTATAGCGTTGCGATCAGGTATGTTATAGCGTTGCGATCAGTATGTTATAGCGTTGCGATCAGTATGTTATAGCGTTGCGATCAGGTATGTTATAGCGTTGCGATCAGGTATGTTATAGCGTTGCGATCAGTATGTTATAGCATTGCGATCAGGTATGTTATAGCGTTGCGATCAGTATGTTATAGCGTTGCGATCAGTATGTTATAGCGTTGCGATCAGTAAGTTATAGCGTTGCGATCGGTATGTTATAGCGTTGCGATCGGTATGTTATAGCGTTGCGATCAGTATGTTATAGCGTTGTGATCGGTATGTTATAGCATTGCGATCAGTATGTTATAGCGTTGCGATCAGTAAGTTATAGCGTTGCGATCGGTATGTTATAGCGTTGCGATCGGTATGTTATAGCGTTGCGATGAGGTATGTTATAGCGTTGCGATCAGTATGTTATAGCGTTGCGATCACTATGTTATAGCGTTGCGATCAGGTAAGTTATAGCGTTGCGATCAGTATGTTATAGCGTTGCGATCAGTATGTTATAGCGTAGCGATCACTATGTTATAGCGTTGCGATCAGTATGTTATAGCGTTGCGATCAGTATGTTATAGCGTTGCGATCAGTATGTTATAGCGTAGCGATCACTATGTTATAGCGTTGCGATCAGGTATGTTATAGCGTTGCGATCAGTATGTTATAGCGTTGCGATCAGTATGTTATAGTGTTGCGATCAGTATGTTATAGTGTTGCGATCAGTATGTTATAGTGTTGCGATCAGTATGTTATAGCGTTGCGATCAGTATGTTATAGTGTTGCGATCAGTATGTTATAGCATTGCGATCAGGTATGTTATAGCGTTGCGATCGGTATGTTATAGCGTTGCGATCAGTATGTTATAGCGTTGCGATCGTTATGTTATAGCGTTGCGATCAGTATGTTATAGCGTTGCGATCAGTATGTTATAGCGTTGTGATCAGGTATGTTATAGCGTTGCGATCAGTATGTTATAGCGTTGCGATCAGGTATGTTATAGCGTTGCGATCAGTATGTTATAGCGTTGCGATCAGTATGTTATAGCGTTGCGATCAGGTATGTTATAGCATTGCGATCAGGTATGTTATAGCGTTGCGATCAGGTATGCTATAGCGTTGCGATCAGGTATGTTATAGCGTTGCGATCAGTATGTTATAGCGTTGCGATCAGTATGTTATAGCGTTGTGATCAGTATGTTATAGCGTTGCGATCAGGTATGTTATAGCGTTGCGATCAGTATGTTATAGCGTTGCGATCAGTATGTTATAGCGTTGCGATCAGGTATGTTATAGCATTGTGATCAGTATGTTATATCGTTGCGATCAGGTATGTTATAGCGTTGCGATCAGTATGTTATAGCGTTGCGATCAGTATGTTATAGCGTTGCGATCAGGTATGTTATAGCGTTGCGATCAGGTATGTTATAGCGTTGCGATCAGGTATGTTATAGCGTTGCGATCAGTATGTTATAGCGTTGCGATCAGTATGTTATAGCGTTGCGATCAGTATATTATAGCGTTGCGATCAGTATGTTATAGCGTTGCGATCGGTATGTTATAGCGTTGCGATCGGTATGTTATAGCGTTGCGATCAGTATGTTATAGCGTTGCGATCACTATGTTATAGCGTTGCGATCAGGTATGTTATAGCATTGCGATCAGTATGTATTAGCGTTGCGATCAGGTATGTTATAGCGTTGCGATCGGTATGTTGTAGCGTTGCGATCAGTATGTTGTAGCGTTGCGATCAGTATGTTATAGCGTTGCCATCGGAACGTCATAGTTTTCTGTTATTTTTGATGATTTTCTTTTAACTTATCTACGTGACCTTACCAAAAGACCCAATAATATTAATTCGCTTTAAGTCACGTGTTATCTTCACAATTATCTATGATAACAAGGTCCCCGTGGTAGCTTTATAACAGAGAACGTTTTTTTTTTAAATGTGTTTGATAGAGAATATTGTTTTTTTACTAGCCAAATAACGTGATATGAAAAGTCCGCGGATTATGAAAATAAACAGCAAGTATAAAACTGACAGTATGAAAACGTACAAAGTGTCATGCCCATAGTGGACACTTACCACGGTGGACATTTGCTACCCCAGGTGGGACGAGCACTATGTGTAAAGAACCACATCTGCACCCGCGTTCTGCTGACCCATACAAAAGGGTTTCGCATTAATATCTCAATCGATGGAATTTCAAGTTCGGCCGGGAGTGATCTCTGGCTCGGAATTCAACTGAGACGATTGTGAGTGGGAATCACTGCTGCCAAACCAGCCGTGCTACATTGCAGCGTTGACCTATTTCGCCCCCAAATTCATGCTCGCACGATGATCCGATGTGAACTCTCTCAGCTGCTCTTGCACGGCTTGACTGCTGTAGGACATTGCACTTTGGTCATCTGCCAATCAACGCAGCACCGCACAAGGTGCACAAACTGTAATTTGCTTACGAGGTAAAGTACTCTAAATAACAATTACAACGTTCACAGCCCGTTGTCATTCCAATGCTGGATGAAGACCTTCCCAACGCCATATCAGTTATCGGGTTTTTTTTTACCATACGTCACCATACTGCTCAGTGTGGTTCAGAAAAGGGGGGACCCTGGACCCATGCGTATGCCACTCGCCACTGATGTTAGCCGTGGCCGTAAATCGAAATCGGGTCTCCGAGTTCGTAGTGCATTGCGGTAACCACTGCACCACCGCTGCACCTCCACAGTTATAAATTACCCTTATGTCATCATCATCAGCCATGATCTATCCACTGCTGGATTAAGGCCTTGGGATGGGCGACCCTAATGTATAATTCCCATATTTAGATTGCCTTGGTGCCTATTTGATTAGGCAGGAATGGATTCACACATCCAGATTTTTTTATGGATTATCACGATTCTATTTTTAAAAAAAATATACTTTTCGTAATTTTTTTTACATCTCACAGCTACAGTTGTATTCAGTGCCTTAGTCCATACGTATACATCGCATATAACGTGCATACCAGTTCGAGGAACTCAGAAAGAAACCATTCTCGTGCGGATGATTTTACGTGCGGCAAATTGAAACAATTCATCCACGGGAACCGACGTCCCGGTCGTAGTCGTATCGCCAAAGTCGATATCCGTGCATCGCATCGTGAAACACGATGTCGCGGCCATGCCCCGTGTCTGCAAAGGCGGTGTTGGTTTGGGTTTGCGAGCGCTACCTCCGCGAAGGCCGGATCCGCGTTCCCAATGACGCGCTGCAGCAGGAACTCCAGCACAAGCCGCTCGGAGAAGGAGTTTTCGCTGAACGCGACAAATCCCATCACCAGCTCGTCCAAATCCTCCTCCTGCGGGAGGGTCGGCGGGAATAACGGCGGACGCACGCTCACGGAACGTCCATCCGTCCATCGCGCCCCACTCATTCTTTCATTCATTTCCACATCGCGAACGTAGTACACTTGCAATGCACGGTCACACACGTACCGCTGCGTAACACGTACCCCCCACACTCCGCCCTCCCTCCCCATCGCCAGCGATTCCACATCCTCCTCCTGCTGAGCGAGCGTCGGCACACGCTCTTGTAACGCCGTGCCCCCCTCTCGTTCGTTAGAGATTTGCGAACGAAGGCGGCGCTCCACCGATACTTCTTTGCGAGCGGTTTAAAGCGGCGTTGCAGTCGGCTTCACCGCTCGGGCAATTGGCCACGACTGGCATGGCAACGAGCGTCCGTCCGTTGTGCGTGCGTAAATACCTGCTCTAGTTGCGCAAAATAGCGCGCCGTCACTTAACCCAATTGGCAATTGAACTACCAAACGGCCTTGGCCATATGTTTGACCCGCACCTCTGCTGAGCACGGTTGGCTACGTACGGCGGGAGAGAAGTTCAACGGTACATGCATACACATGTTGTTTTATTCTTTTGTTACAGATTTTTGTTTTTCGATTACTGGATCTTAGGTTGTGGCTAAATATAAACGAGCCGGCCCTGCCGAGATGCTGGGCTTGCATGCGCGTTTCAGCCACCCATGCTCAACCCGGCTTCTCAAGCGTGGCGGGTTGATGATGGTCGTACTAAATTAGTTTGTTCACTTAATCTGGTAAATCCTCAATTCTCAGAATGAACGCGTTTAAGTTTGATTACCACGTGACAAACACCGGTATAGCATTGCACAACCCTTGGTAATTTGATGATTTCTCACAATTCAGGTATTTTATGTTACATATATTTAAATGGTGGTGGATGTAGCAGCCTCTAGTAGAAGTAGTATCAGGGGTCACACGATCTGGTTACGTACAAAGTACATAAGTAAAAAGTAATACATTTGTCCTATGCACGGTTCAAATAACGCGTGGTAAAGTGTAAAGATCGATGTAATTGATGTTTTTGCCTTCGTAAGTTGTGTGACAGAGGTCACTCTTGCAAATGAAACTTAGCCTGGTCTCTTAGAGTTCTCACTTGATTAAACAAATAAATTGAAGAATCGATGCAACGGTGCACCCGCATTGATCAGTGTGTGCTTACGCACGTAACAGAGACAACATTAAGCTCACTCTGTTAATTCTCTCTCTACGAAAACATTTTAACGACCGATTTACGGACCGACATTCGCGGCTCCCAGATTTTAACTCGGCTGTTGGAAACAACGCACGAGGCTTCGAACGCGCGCCTCCCGCGTAAAGCCTCGCTACAGCAATAACGACGACGCAATGGATGTCACGATAAAACAGCTGGCTGCAAGCATCATAGAGTGAATAGCAGCTGCATTGATTAAAATACACCACGTGAGAAACGCAAAATATAACTATGGCGGAGTGATATTGACAAAATGCGGAACGCCAATTTAGCATTGTATCCCTGTACACACAAAAGCACAGCTGACACGTAGCTGTGCTGGCACAACAAGCTCGTACCAAAGAGAGCACGCACAGCACGGGGCAGTGTACACACAGGTGAGGGTGAGTGCGTGACAACGGCTCGGCGGACAGATAATGATCACCCCCGCGGTGAAGGGACGCAACCCCTTCGCTCGTTCACTCGTTCATCCCAGCTGGCTTACGAGCGCACTCATCAGCTTTTGTTACGTTTTCTGTGTCCACGTGAAAAAAAGTATCGACACGTGACTCACGAAGTTTGGTGGCCGTCCGAAACAGACCGCCTATGTGCTGGATCGCTGCGATTCGGTTGTCGCCATCCGATCCAAGGCCCCGTTCTACCTTTTAAAAGCACGGTTCGCGGAATCAGCGGCCTCCATTGAGTGTGCGGGTCATGTTGAACCCATTCCACACAGCATGTACGAATATTGCGAGCTCAAAGAATCGATGTCAATCGATTATTAGACGCATCCTTACACCACCGAAATTACATTTTCTCCGAGTAGTTTTTCTGAGCAGTTAACCTCTCGTAATAAATATTAATGAGGTGGCACGCTTTGGCAGGAATGAGGTGGCACGCTTTGGCATGAACGCGGTGGCCTGGGTTTGATTCCCAGCCACAGCTAAAGTCAAATATGGAGCGATCGCTGGGTTACGCCCTTCACCAACCCACACCGATTGGCGTGAAGTATTTTTATCAATAAAAAATAACCTCTACCCAAATGACACGCGTAGAGGCTTTCCACCAGTGGATCTACTTGGCACCCTGTTGTCTTTCTCTCGCAGACACGGCCACTCGATGAGGCGCGCCGCATCGCGGTCGTACGCGGAGAGACTACGAACGGAGTCGGAGCCGACGCCAAGAAGTGTTAAGGGGGGGGGGGGGGGGGGGGGGGGAGAGAGGAGGAAAAAAAAGGGCGAAAAAAAAACTGGTGCAAATTTTCTAAATCAAATTGGTCTGGCACCAATGCGCAGGTGATGTGAAGACTCCGTGTCAGCTCAGGCTCACCAGTAGTTGGCGTAAACAAGCGCCGCTCCACCGCTCGCGATAATTGAGGAACAGTTTCTGTTTGCCATGCCTTGGTGTGGCCGCAGGGACTGCGGGCTTCGCAATTTTAACGATGAGATCTGCGTCCGCACAATTAACAGGATGCGGAATTCCTATTTCAGGAGACGGAGTCAGCGGAGCGCCTCGCGCTGCGCTTTGTTCCGCCGACAAACGACGGGGCGACCGACCGAGCGTTGCCGCGTTCGCTTTGCGATGCTTACGACCGTGGGCACCGGAGTTCAATTCCCAAACCATGGCTAACATCAGCGGCATGCAGTCACACGGTTTAAAGAACGGCACATGAGCAACACAGAATGAGACCTTCATCCAGCAGTGGATTGACAAAGGCACTGTACACGTGAGCACACGTGCACATGTCCACAATGCAGTTCGGGAGTCAGGTCAATGCGTGACAAGAGTATTTTTACATTGTGACCGGAACATAAATCAGTTCAGCGTGCAGATGAATGAACTTAAACAAATATATGTCATACGTCCAGAAGCCATGTGAACAAAAACCTTCGGTAAACCGAAATGACGATGTCATACAAAATGATTCACATACAAAGCAATGCATTGCGCCGTAACAATGCTTCCAATAAACGGCACACACGTGGCTGCATTGTGTGTATGTGTGTGTGTACAGCCCTCTGTCATTCCTGCTGGAAGAGGGCCTCCTCCATGCCATGAGGATCGTGGGGTTTATTCGACCAAATGAACGTGGGGACCATGGACGTGGGGATAAAGAAGTGGTGGACAACAATTGACTTTGCTTCACTGCCCTCCGTTTCAGTTTTTTTTTACTTCAGTTTCTTTATTTTGGTATAGCCCTGTGAGCCATTCGGCTCTTGAATCGGGTGCAACCGCAACAAACAAAAAACCAAAAAAACACGAACAAGAAAAACATCTTAAAGTGACGCAGCTCGCGACGCAGCGCCGGAGCCGTACGTGCGACGTCATCCCGGTCGCATCTTTAAAAAATTCGTAAAACCCCTGCCTTACATCCCCCATGATGCGGACGCTCCCGCTTGCAGAAGCGTGCGTTCTAGAGTATTTGGCTGCTGTACATTTCTACGTGATGAGCCACTTCGTTCAGCTATCACTTGTGGCCAGGTCACTCCTGACAAAAAGAGTAATGCGGTGGGCTTTACCTGGCATAACAAAAAAAAAACATGTTTATAGTTGAAATAGTAATGGTAAAAAAAAAAAAAAACATTTTCCCGTGCAGTGCCTCGAGCTGCCGACTGATGCCCCTTTTCGGCGCTGCCACGCAAATTCCGAACCGTGCCGCACTGCAACCGCGCTCCGGACGAACGAAGCTCGCGTCGCGTGCGACGTGCGGCGCGCGGCCGTACCTGCAGGAAGGGGTAGAGCGCAGACGCAAGCTCGTAGAAGTCCACGACGCCGCCACACGCCACGCAGCCCGCCGCCTCGGCGAGGAGACTCGCGTAGCGCACGGCGGCTCCGTCCAGACCGCCGCTCAGCGCCAGCGCGAAAACCCTGCACAGCTGCGGCGACGGCCGCCGCGGGTGCCAAGACCGACACCACGGCGACGATCGCTTAGGCGTTAAAGTCACGGGCATCAGGAACGGCAAAACGATGGCGCGACTCCCTGCCTGGGACCAGGCTGCGTGGTGGTCGGACGGTGGCGATACGGCGATGGATCGCGTTGAAGCTATCGGAGCTCTGGAGATGTATCTCCTCGTACGTGCTGCGGGCTCTCTCCGGGGCTCTCCGGTTTCGGCCCACACGCTGAGCGCTCGTTTGCGCCGTTGGTCAATCACCCTGATGCATGGCCGTCCTCCCCTTAAGCATTGAGGCTCAGTGAGGCCTTCCTCGATAATAAATGGCATATTTATTCTTCGTCCTGTGCATCTCATTTTGTTGTCTCATAACCAGCCACTTGACAGTTACGAACAGGACACAGCAAAACAAACCGGGATTTGTTTCCCACTGCGGGCGATTGAGTGCGCATGCATGCGTGTGCGTGCGTTTGGAAGTATTTACTTGCATTTTTGCAGCCTGGGGAGGGGTTGTGTTATGGTTAGTGTGACCCGAGTTCGATTCCCACTCACGGCCAATACCATTGACGATTATCTGAACCGGTCCTTAGCCTCCCCTAGGTCAACTCAGCTTCAAATGAGGAGACAAAGGCGGCCTGGCGCGGTGTTGGCCACCCACCGCCCTCGTGTGCCGTGCCGGCCTTCATAGGTGCTGCTCGCTAACAGCACTTGCCCCAACAGTCCGGTAAGGCTAGACGGTGGATCTTTGTCTTTGCTGTTGTGGTACCTTGTTGGAGGTGCCGTGCTTCATAACCGCGCTGAGGAAATGGTGCGCGGCCTCTCCCTCCAGCTCGTCCGTGTAGCGCTCAGCGATGAACTTCCACAGGCAGCCCTGGCGCAGCCACACGAGGGGAAAGCACCCGGCGAGGGTAACGACACGACCACTGCACCCCGAGTGTGCTCGAGCTCGCAAGCTAAAGCAGGCTTTTGAACCTGCTTAGTGCTTGGATGGGAGACTGCCTGGGAATGCCAGGAGTATCTGCGGCGCCCGTGAGATGTCGCCAAGGAGATGGTAGCAGCAGCAGCAGCGATGGATTAAATCCATCAGCAAAACAATTATTAAAATTGCAAGAGAAAATATTAAACCAATTAAATGTGAATTTTACATGGCCAGGAGATGTAAATGCGGCAATAGATTCTGGAATCTCTCAGCAAAGAGCTCTCAGTGTTATCCCCGTTCACGTGTAGTTATTCTTTGGGTAGTCTGGTTTCTGACACGACAGAGGCAAATCATGATGGATGAAGTTGGTCACCCCAATGCAGGACCCTCCTGAAAAATGAGTCGGTGAGACTTTTGCTGGTGCACACCAAGGTCGTTATTAAAATAATTCTTAAAGCATTTCTAGTTTTCTAATTCCGTTTTTGAGTGGGAGGAAACCACAGTACCAAGGACAAAGCCACACATTGCCAGTATAGAGCATTCCCAACATCCATATGGATAGGTCAACGCTGGTCTAGAGCACTCCCAACATCCATATGGATAGGTCAACGCTGGTCTAAAGCACTCCTAACATCCAGATGGATAGGTCAACACTGGTCTAGAGCACTCCCAACATTCATATGGATAGGTCAACGCTGGTCTAGAGCACTCCCAACATCCAGATGGATAGGTCAACGCTGGTCTAGAGCACTCCCAACATCCATATGGATAGGTCAACGCTGGTCTAGAGCACTCCCAACATCCAGATGGATAGGTCAACGCCCTTCTGAGCCCATTGCTCAGGCCACGTCATAGATCTGGAGGTGTTTGTGTCTCGTGCAGATGAGTGGTCAAACAACGATGCCACTAAAGGCTATAGGCGTGTGGCACTATGCAAGCAGTAGTCTTATTATAAATAGGCCTGTGCCACTATGCCCAGATAGTATTAGTGTGAGTATTAAACATGCAAATAGGAATCATGCATCAAGTTTATACAGCAGCCTCGCTGAATGAGACTTCAATGTCAATTTCACAAACAGTTTTTCTTCCAATTACCAGTTTGTGTGTCACAAATTGCTTGTGATTTTTTTTGTTTGTCAATAAAGAAAGTGTTGCATTGATTTAACCAGTGTTCTCATTTGCCTTGCTTTCTGGATAACACACGATCACGTGACTTGGCAATAACATCCGTAACTCCAACTTCGCACAAAGGCAATTTGAGCTTTAATTAAATTAGGATTCATTAAGCAGTTGAATTTGCTTAATTACAATGTATTTAACATCCAGTGCGACATGAACAAACACTGTTTTAAACAGAAATAATGTCGCAAAAACAAGTTCAAAATACAAAACTGCGTCCAAAGTCATGATGCGTTGCTGCGGGACATGATGGAAACTATAACATTCTAAAATTCCACCCTATAAATAAAAATACGATTTATTTCACCAGCCTATTGGGTTTGCAGACGTAATATTATCCAGCAGAATTATTTTTCGTAGAACAAAGTCCGCTCCGACAAAACGGGTTGCTGTCGAGTCAATGCGTCGGGATGGATAGCTGCGTGTACGCATTATATGTTGAACGTCTTTCGCATCGTACGTAGCCGACCGTGCTAATCGGAGGTGCGGGAAAAAAATGCCTCCGTTGCGCACGTTACGCTGGGAGTACCCGATGGCTCACCAGGACGGACGGACTGGGAGCGCCGGCACGGCCCGCGTCGTCATTCCACAGCAAAGTGGCCACAAACTGCTCCACCAGAAACAAGCAGCGCTCCTGAGCGAAAACAAAAAAAACGTTCAGAAAACAACGGCGATAGACTCAAGGCAGGGGTCCGGCAAAACCCGCCGCTCCGGAGTCACGTGCGGCTCTTTGAGGACTGGCCTCGTGACGTCGTTTATTAAAGACCCCCACCGTCTACGTATTCACGTGCATTGCTGCTCCTGAAATATTGTTTACCGAATTCGAAAAAAAAATTGTCTCTTCTTGTTATGTTTGGTTGCCGACCCCTGAATCAGGTCAACACATTATCCTTACGCCAGGATGCGAGCAAAATATATAAAAATGCTCGTATTTAAGCATTTAACAACAAAAAAATCACAGCCCTTTGTCAATCCACCGGTGGATGAAAATATCCCCCATGCCATGTCAATCATGGGGGTTTATTTGGCCATACTTCACCATGCTGGTGAGTATAGGTTCGTGAAGGAGGGGAGGGCCCAGGACTGGTTCAGACATTACTCGTTCGCCACTGATGTTAGCCGTGGCTGGAATTCGAAAGCAAGTAACTGGTTTTGAAGAACAGCGCGCTAACCACTGTGCCACCACTCCCCCCACCCCACCTGCCACCTCCATTATGCCTTTACAAAAATTAAAATGTAATCATCCTCCAAGTCATTTGGAAGAAAACCAAAATGCACATGGTAAAGATGATTATTAATAACATCCAAATATTCGTGAACATCAAGGTATAGTCTTAAAATGTTTTGTCCTGAGGGGAATATTACCTGCACGCATGTGTAAGTCTTAATTTGTGTAATCGCCCACATTATTCATATGCCGTATTGGATTATCTGTGGTGATGGAGGGGAGGGGTGGAGCGGATGAATAATAAAAAAAAACATTGATAAAGCAAGACATCTACTTGAGGATATAAACACGAGTATTTTGGTTATTCATAGACTCCGGCCGGCAGCACACGGCGACTTGATTGTACCAAGACATCAAGATACGGTCCCCCGCAGTCTAGTAGTGTCCGGCCCATCTCCTCACCTACCTACTCATCCACTCGCTCACCTACTCACGCACTCGCTTGCTCACATTAGTAGTGTCCGGCTCTTCTCGTCTACCTAGTCACCAACTCACTCACCCAATCAATCAAATCACATTCGTAGTGTCCAAGCCCATCTCCTCATCTACCGCCTCACTCACCCACGTGCACACGTTAGTAGTTTGCCGGCCATCTCTTCCCATTTCTACTCACCCATTCGATCACCCACTGACTCCCTCACCCACTCACGCACGTTAGTAGTGTCCGGGCCCTCTCCGTGAAACTCACTGCTGGTCACCGTTCGCAATTTGTCTGCAAGTCCCAACCAGTTCTGCAGTAGTCAAGTCAAGACAGAACACTTCAGTAAAGCTTATAATCAAAATGAGAATCTGTATTCATCCTGGAGAAATCCAATGAGCTTTGAAGCTCCCTTTCACAGCTTACAAACCATAACCATGGCACCTTTGTGACGGAAACCTTTGCGCTGTAGGAATGGCGCGAATACCACGTGTATTGATTTATCATGTACTTTTCCTTACCTAAGCAGGACGGGGGAAGGAGGTGACGATTTAGAATGTGTAATCTTATATTGGTTTACTTGCCAATTCGTTTGTGGTCATGTGGCCAAATGAGTCACTGTCTGCAAACGGTGTTAATCCACAGCCCAGATAATCCAACCACAGTTGATCGACAGTGATCTGCACTTTAGGCCCATGATTTCCCGGTTCTTTTTCTTGTTGCTCAAATTGAACTGAAGTGCTGATTGTGCGGAAGGAAGTTCGGCCGGATGGCAGTAAAGATTTACAGGCGTAGCCCTGCTCGTTCCTCGCGCCTTCAGTGAGCCTCTAACGAGAGACAGAGCGAACACACCTGAGCACGGCATTGCGCTCTGCCACTTCTTACGTGTCACCGAAAACGCCGTGGCCGACATCGTAATCGCTTATTCACATTCCAGCGTGTGCCAAATCAGTCGTGTGACATTTTTAATAAACCATTATCACTGACAGCTCTTTCTCAATGCCCTGCTGGATGAAGGTATCCAAGCATCGTCAGTCATGCGGAATGTTTTGACCATACTTCACCATGCTGGTGAGTGCAGGTTGTTGGGGGGGGGGTGCCACTGACGTTAGCCACGGCTGGGAATCGAACTCCGTTCCCCAGGGTCGTAGCACAAGGGATGCTAAGGCACTGCCCCACTGACTTGTGAGCCACTGCTCTGCACGCACAAATGGTTGTAGTAATATGTAAACAAAGCCCGAAAGGGTCGTCACTCCACGGAGACGGAGCGATGGAATTAACTCGTGTGCAGGAGCCAGATTAAGAAATGGTGATGGCCGGGTGTGGGAGGGGGGGTGAGACGTTAATCCAATGGTGGATAGATCACAACGGAGCTTGGTGATGGTGAGACCTATGACACTGCAGCAAGGATCATGATGACACTGATTGCTGCGCCCTCTAAAGCGCGCTTTACTCCTCCCATCCCCTCCAAACGCAATTAGATGCTCGGTACACTTGAAGGCAGCGGGTGACCTTCACATTGCACCTGTAATTGGATCAATTACGTGGACACCCTTCTCTGAAAACGACATTTGCCTTGTGTGTGCCCCCTTTTGTGCAGTAAACGGGCAACAAAACACGGGCGATGGAGACTGTATGAGCTCTAAATAGAAGCATCCCCAATGGCAAATCAATGGTGCCTCTCATCCACCAGCGCCACAGCAGAATGTATCCTATCCAGTATATCTTGCCCTCTGCTGCTACAGATACGCGACTGGTCCAGAAATGTGCTTCCTTAGCGAAAGCCTGGAATCAAACTGAAGTCTCGCAAATCATTGCTCCACCCACTACCCCCTCTGCCATCATTGGCATTAAATCATCGTTTCTAACGCACAACGGCGATTGGATGCATGCATCCCGAGCAGCAGTAATCACGATAATTAATCGACGCGTCACGCGCTCGCTCGCCGACTCGCGCCGAGACTCCAGCTCATGATGTTCGTCCGACAGCCGCATCGCAGCCTGTCGGCCCACCGAGCCACTCCAGATCACCTCTGGACTTTAATTCCATCGAATCCAGTAATGTGCAAATAATATTTTTAAGCGTTAATTGAGTCTCGGAGGCACGTCTATAATGAGTTTTCGGCAAACAAAACTATAAAGTTAATTTCCTCTAATGGAAAGGCCCCCCGCGGTTTCCCAAAGACTGTGGGAGATGAGCTGTCACGCCGCAAAGTGACGGCGGTATTTATAAACACAACAGAGCGAAACGTCACTGGCAGACTCGCACATGCAGGAAGCGGGTTAATCAAGAGGGTTTCATGGAGGCGTGTGGGTTTTTTTTACTGGCATAATAATAATAAACAGCAAGTCAACGCATGTGCTCGAGAATATTCGCAGCAGGTTAAATAACACCATCAATCTGTTAGGAAGAACCGAGAAACAAGCCGATGCCACAAACAAAATCTGGTGACTTTTTTTGTCTTAAGTGTGAAGCAAGCTCAGCTGGAAACAAACCGTAATAAATGATTCCGTGGAAATTACCGTGTAATGACTGCAACGCGCAACTAATATGTGCCAATTGAAAAGTACGAAGGCATTTTCGTCACTTGCGATGATTACAAAGACGGTCCCACAAACTGACCCCCTTTGCGAGCGCAATTTCTTGATTTTTTTTAATCTGCGAGGCGCTAAAAATAAAAATGGCCGTGCGTCTCACGGGAGAGTTTGGGCCGACCGTCTGCGCGTGTTCAGGTGTCTGACCGCGGGGGTTCGTTCGACGCAACACTTAATTCTGTCGCGCGCTACCCCACGGTGAAATTACCTGCTTTGCATTGCTCACACAAACAAACAACAAAAATCCCCCCCCCACCCCGCGTGGCCTTTGAAGAGACTGTTGGGGAAATCGCTGTTCGCGAGCACCTATGAAGGCCGGCACGCCACACGAGGGGGTGGCCAACACCACGCACGGCTGCCTTTGTTTCCCCAGTGACGATAATTATACACCACACCAGGTACTCATTTGAGGCTGAGTCAACTTCGGAGAGGCCCAGGACTGGCTCAGATAATCGTCACTGGTGTTGGCCATGAGCAGGAATCGAACTCGGGACGCCAGGTTCGTAGTGCAGCGCACGAACCGCTGCACTACCGCTCTACTTACTCGCACAAACACACACACACGCAGCACGCACGCACACACACACGTGCACGCTGGATACATAAGAGGAACTGACGTGCTTGAATGACGGTGGAAACAGGGCAGATCACGGTACGTACCAAAGTTATGTTTCTTGGAAGGTCGCTTATTTCTTGGTGCCTTTTCTTAAATTCCTTCCAGATACACTCAAACGATTCATCCTGTGTGGGAAAGGAAATGTTAAAATCGTATGAAAACACGAAGGGAAATCTAATAGGGCTAAACCTAAACCGTCATCGCCATATCCTGTGCGGTAGATAACGAGTATGCAGGCGGTGCAACTGCACTGAGGGCCCATGGGTCGGAGAGGCCCAGGCGCCAGGCTACAGGACCCATGGCCAACCACGCTACGCTACTGGTTCCGTGTCCCGGCAACCCTTGGCCCCAAGCGCAAGTTCAGTTGAGGAAACCAACGGGAATTATTATAATACTCCACAGGACAATACGTTGATTTTGTTGCACGTTTTTTTCTATTGCCAACCGGGACACATTTAAGTCTTGCACGCATTCTCAAGTGAGCTGTGCCCAGACTCCAGTTCACCCGATTGAGGTCGAGTTTTAAAAGATCGAGCAAAGTTGCAGCGGGAGGACGCCTTCTGCAGTTCGGTATTGGGGAAGTAAAGTGCCGTGGTAGCAATGTAAAATCTAAACGAGCCTCCTTCACCTCGTACGTATGGCTTTTCTCCAGGGCTCTCACTCCAGTTTCCTCGCGGGCGGAATAAAAATAAAATCCTGAACAACGGTGTTCGGCTACCACTGGCCGAGGTTGTTGCGGTTGTGCTGCTGCTGCTGCTGCATCTCTCCGGTGTGTTTTCTGGTCGTACCGCGTGGTATGTGGCATGGTGTCCGACCTTCCTCTCCGTCGGACATCATGCCGAACAACACGCGGCGGTACAACCCGAGAAACAAAACGGATTTCATTTATTTATAAACATATATACATGTACATTGAACTTCTTACATAGCCAACCGGCTGACTGGAGGTGCGAAATATATCACGGTTGCTTGAACAGAGGCACAAAGTGCAAAGCTGCCAGCAATAATAACATTATGAAAATTATCATGGACGAAACTTCACACGATACAGTGCTGCATTGGACAAACATCCCAAGCAAGGCCATCCAGAAAGAAACAAGAATCCTGCGATTGGCCTCAATAAATCCCGCCCTCCCGTATAAATGAAGGGATAATGATAACACCGTTATTACAGGACGCCGGCGCGGGTGAAACGTGCGGATTTGCATTTCCGATGAGCGCAGACACTGAGCGCAATCGTGCCCCGTGGCACCGCACGGCCTGGGAACGGGCACCACACTGGCAGAACCAAAACAGGCGCTGTGCTTGCGCTCCAGTGGGCATCAGAGCAGGGGTTAAGCATACCCTTCCCGGGTGGTTAACTACACAGATTTTGGCACAACGGGGGAGATGGGGTAGGGTGGAAGGGGGAGGGGGGGGGGACGTGAGGAGGAGTGAGCGGCTGGAGGGGCAGCCGTTGCGACCGAAGGACGCAGGGGAGGAGATGGTAAATGAGAGTGCGTGGAGGGAAGAGTGGGCGGCGGGGGGATAGGCAGAGGTCAAGACTCCGTGGGGGTGCGTTATTCTGGCTCCCAGACGCGCTTTTCCGAACGGATCAAAGTGGCTACAACGGGTCAGTGGCCAGGGACACTGTGTGGAAAAACGATGCCGTCCCCCGCGGACAGACCCCTTGCCACGCTGCAGACAATTGTCCCGCTCCGCTACCCACCCCCCTCCCTCACGCCGCCCCCCGCCCATCATCCCCCCCCCCTCCGCTACCACCCCCCCGCCTCTCCTCTCTCGCCTTCAGCCAACGCTCAAGGGATAATGTATGTCGTAATGAGCCGACCAGATTACACTGAAAGTATGCACGTTTTAGTTGTTGTGAATATATTATTAATGAAATCTAATTGCCGCTCTAAACTAATGAAATGTTCACGCGAGCTCGCGCGCGCGTGCGGAGATAAATACCAAAACATGAGCGAGCCGCCGCGAATATATTATTTGTGTGCGCGTGCGTGGGTGTGTGCCGTAGCTAACGGCGTGACGATGGCGAGAATTCAATGAAGCATTTGGTCCACGAGAGCAGGAGTGCAGGTTGTGATCGCCGTGCCGTGCGACTAACTCAGACCGCAGCCGGGTGGCATCTGACCTGGTCCCAGGCATCTTTTGCCACGAAATGAGCGCGTAATTTCAGTTCCAGCGTCATTTGAACCTTATGGCGGGACCCCGGGGGCCCGAATAAACGGAAGTCAAAATCGTAATGATTTAATTTTATTTTTGGTGACTCCGTCCCACCGCGCACATAAACGCCGCGACCCACCTGGCGCGGATCATTCTGTTGTCATGTCGTCCAAGCGCAGCGAGGACGAATGCCGTAGTCATAAACAAAACTTTGAAACTTTGATTAGCGCATCGTGTAGAGCCCATCGAGAGGAATAGATTGCAGCATCGTTCGCCTTCGACAGACATCAAATGACGTCGCAGCGCAGAAAGAGCCGGGGGCTTATGGGACCCTGGGGTCCCGCCATAAGGTTCATTTCACCAATCACGTGTTTGCTACCTGGTGATCTTCCAAGGGGCGGTGCGTGAGGCCAGATATCGGCGGTCGATCTTCGGAGGGCGCTGCCACATCAGCGGCAGTTACGGCGGCGGCAAGGCTTGCGCCTTGCCCTGGCAGTGACCCACCGGTGGGAGACCCGTCGCTCTTGCCGCCACCACCACTTTTGTCAGAGGAGGAAAGCAAGGAGAACAATATTAATTTTAAATAAATATATAGGGTTTTTTTTTTTTATAAAAAAAACCACGTTATTTGGTTTGCAAGTTTGCACAACGTCTTGTCTACAAGTATTTCTGGTGTTGTTGTTCGCACGCATGTTTTGGACATTGCATGTCCTACTTGCCGATAATATTAACACAACAAAGAACACGCATGTTAACAGGATCGTTGCATGAATTTTTTTTTTAATATACTCCACCAAATGTCCCGCTGCATTATTTTTTTTAATTTACTTGACTGCCACCACCGCACATCTGCGGGATGTGACACAGGCGCGCGCTAAAACGTAATAAAGGATGCGTCAATTCTTGCACAACGCTGGCACGGGAATACTTGTGGTTGCCGTGTGCCTCGACAGATTAATGGTGATGTCGCGTGCAGGTGTCGGGAATGCTTGAGACGCGTTGGGGAGGGGAGAGGAGTTTGCCGAGGAGGAAGAAGGTGGGTGGGGTGGAGTATTTTACGTCGGCAGGAGGCCAAGCCAGAGAGCCAGAGGGTGGTAACTGTCGAAACACCAGAAGGGAAATAGGTGAGACCCATGCACAGGTGCTAAAAGTGGAAGAATCCAGAGCACGCTGCCGCCCAAATGAGCATCAATACAGTGGGCCATGTCACGTCTACAGCCCTGAGCCATCGGTGAAAATGTCACGTTTCTGTGGCGGGTGGCGAGTCTATCTGTTGCACAACAAACCGTGTATTTATATATGTATGTTGAGCTTATTTTGCGCCGTACGTGGCCAACCGTGCTAACCGGAGGTGAGACTACCGACTTATTGAGAGCATGGGCTCAATCAACGGCCCACCCAACCCCACGACCACGAGCTGAACTCGCAACCATTCCGATTGCGAGCCTCTCGCTGTACCGCCGAGCCACCTGGCCGGATTAAAATATAATTATATTCTTATTATTTATATATATCTCACGGCACCTGAACGTGCCTCGGCGCGCACGTGTGTGTGTGTGTGCGTGTCGCGGTGGAAGTACCGCTGGCGGGGGCCTCGGGGAAATTATCCGCTTAATAAGCGGCGGTTTTGACTCCCGGCACAGCGGCCCCTGAGAACAGCGCATGCCACCTACAGCGGAGTCGTCTGCACAAAGACAAAAACCCCCCCGCCCGTATGTAGCCTCAACAGGCTGATGGGGCAAGTGCTGTGAGTAGCGCCTATGAAGGCCGGCACACGGCACAAGAGGGGATGGGTGGCCAGCACCACGCCCGGCCGCCTTTATGACTCGCACAATTGTTTACACGTCGCACCAGGTGTACTCATTTGAGGCCGATTCGACTCACGGGAGGCCCAGGACCGGTTCAGATTATCGTTATTGGTGTTGGCTGTGAGCGGGAATCGAACTCGGGTTGCCATATTCACAGCACAGCGTGGAAAACCGCAAAACCACCGCTCCCCACGTCTGCACGCACACTCCCGCACGCACGGGCACTGTATGCAGGAAATTCGCTCTTTAGTGCCGGTCACACGAAAACAAAGGTAGCCCTGGTGGGACGCTTCCACGAGGGTGTAAAACTTCTGGCCAAGATTTTTGTGCGACGGTTTGCGTGGACGTGTTTAACGGAATTTTTTTTCGTAATATTTCGGGGCAGAATTATCGTACTTAATATATATGCATATATACGCCTCGATGTGTATCCGTGTGTTTGGTCTTGCGTCAGTTACGTTTGGGCTACCGGGGCACCTCGAGTTATCCGTTTTCAATGCACTGCAAGAAGAAAGCCTCTGCAAGCCGATGTCACAGTCTGATACGCACATTTTTTTGTGATTCTGCATTGGTAGTGGTACACAAGTATTGTAAACAAAAAAGAATCAACACAATCATCCATACCACTATCTTAAAATAAAAAATAGGTGATGTTTACTCTTTGGTTCTTTAGGTAAAGTCACGTAGGTAAAAAATGATAATAAATAAATAAGAACAAAATCAAATCACGATGTTTCGGAGGCAACACAAGCTTCCTTCATCAGGAATTCACGAAAACTTCAAATCTAGAATAGGTGATGTTGCAGGCAATAGCCCTTCTTCGTAGCACATAAATAGCCCAGAGAGAGTGAATTAGGTTTGGTATTGCACTTAATAACAGCATGAGGGCCTATTGAGAATTACATTTTAAATATGCTCTTTGATGACCAGTTCTTGAATTCGCATATCAAGAAACCTAATAGTAGCTACTGAGTACCATATAAACAATTCAATAATAAAAAAAAGTATTCCTGAATAAACTCATTTGTAATCAAAGAAAAATAACAAAATGTTGCTGGCACATTGCATTGTCATGAAGAGCCATTGCCCTAAACATTGCCTGTTATATAAACTAAACTATTTTTTTTATTTGCCCACTGAGTTACATAGCTCTTTTTCAGTAGCGACCTGCACACAAATGATAACTCAAAGAAGTGGCTTATCGTGTGGCCATTTATCGCAGCCAAATACTCGAAATATATTTCCCTTTCAAGGCCACACACGCGATGTTGTTATTTTCGCGGAACGTGTCGAGTGGTTTCGTTGGCTGTGCTTGTGCACCACTGCCAACATTGCGTCACCCAATAAAATATTACCGTTGGATCAGCAACCGATTTGCCGCTAACCGCCACCACCACTTTTGGCAGAGGAGGAAAGCAAGGCAGAACAATATTAATAAAAAAAAAATTTTTTTAAAAACCCACGTTATTTGGTTTGCAGGTTTGCCACAATGTCTTGTCTACACAACAATTATTTCTGGTGTTGTTGTTCGCAAGCATGTTCTGTACATTCATCGTCCTACTTTATGATCTCCACCAAATGTCCCGCTGCATTTTTTTTTTAAATTGACCTGAACTGCCGCCACCGCACATCTGCGGGACGCAACACGATGGAGACAAGCGCGGCCGGGCGTGGTGCTGGCAACCCACTTCCTCGCGTGCCGTGCCGGCCTTCGTAGGTGCTCGCTAACAGCACTTGCCCCGACAGTCTGTCAAGGCTCTACAGGGGATCATTATGTGCGTGCCACACATACGTCTCCACATCACTCAATTACCGACGCGTAGCCGCCACACGTTCCATACGTGCGCGTGTGCATACAAAAAAAAACACACACGGACGAGCGCACGTATGAAAACATAATTACCGTTGATGACTTACGAAACACCGCCACTTAATTTTAATACGAGCGCTAAATGCTCAACGCCGAAGGGGCACGGACGGCGCAGGCTGGCCCAAAACTGATTTCGACCATGGCACCGAGGCAGAGATGATAACAATAATGCAACACACCGAGGAGCTCTTTATCTGTGCCGTTGCCACCCCCTCTGCTGCTTTTGCAAAGGGGGAGGGGGCGGGTTTTTAAAGGGCGGGATTAGCGGGGGGCCCGGTGAAAGGCCTAATTAATCCCCCTTCACGCACGCACAAATCGGCCGGCTAGGGGACGAAAGCGAGCAGTCAACCAGAAGGGCGGTGGGGCGTGTCGTCTGCTCGAGAACGACTGTTGTGACAACAAAGGATGCAAAGCAGATGTCTGGGGGGGGGGCCCATCGGGGCAATCAATGCGCCTCCTCCTCCATCCCCACCCACCCACCCCGCCGCGCCCGTTCTCTCTGCCGCTCCTCACTCCGCTGGGACCTTTTCAGCCGCCGCCGCCGTCATAATCATCTCCGAGGATTTGTAATCAGCAGGGAGAGTGTAGAAACGACTCCCAGCCCCCCCCCCCCCCGGGCCGCCTGCCCCCCACACCCCACCCAACGCCCCCGCCCATCATCTCCGCCGTAGGACCCCGTCAACTCACGCGGACGAACGGGCCGCAGGGATGAGGGCGGACGGTCGAGCGATCATGATGCAGCGGCAGTTTTCAGGCAGCTGGATGACGCGGTGGTCGGGCATCAGTTTGTGCGGGCAGAAGAGCGTCTGTGGATAGAAGAGGCGAGCGTGGAGTCGTCAATTCCTTTGTTTGCTCCAAGGGACAACCTCCATTTGAGCCGCAAGCCTCTTTTATTCGGCACGCAGGCAGGCTTCGATGTGGGATGTTCAGACAGTTATATGATTGGGCGTTCAAAAAAGAATCGTACAACTAACCCAACCGATAATAGGTACTGCATATTCTCAGATTAACATCATCCATTGTGATTTAAAGCTTTCGTGACTGCAGGGATTCATATTCTTGGTTCTTTCGGTAAAGTGACGTAGAAGGGAAACAATAAAATAATAAAAAATATATATATAAACCTTTGTGAAAATTGTATTGTTTTATATTTTTATTATTTTATTGTTTCCCTTCTACGTGACTTTACCGAAAGAACCAAGAATATCATCCATTGTATTTCATATGGCGATATTTACCCCCCCCCGCTCTGGTCTCCGCACCTGATAGGCTCAGACTGAAGCAGGAGGACTTCTTCACAATTCTGGCAAATCGCCTGATGAAGCTGGTTGTAATCACCAGCGAAACGTCATACTCAAATTGTCAATGTTGTGGGTTTACTATCCAACACGACGGTATTGTTGACGTGACAAACCTTACTAATTGGCTGCGTCGGGTGGTGATGGATTAACGACACATTCATATTCTCGCGATATAACCCAGACAAACCTTTATTATGGGGAATCTCTACAAATTGGTAGAGATATATATTTATTCACATGGCCGTTATTCAAAAAGGACTTTGCCTAAGAGACGTGTTACAGTACCTAATTGGGTTGAGATTATGGTGTATTTATATAATGTGTTATGTTCAATTGTATTGTGGCAAGATGTATTATAATATCTACTTATGAGCTGTGAAACTTTGTTAATTAAACAATATACGTGTTTGGAGTGTGTACGACCGTGCACTGTTTGGTGTATTTATTAGGCAGCACTTGGCAAAAAATTGCAATGATCAACTACAGCTCTCGGTAAACACACCACACCGTGTCGGTCATGAGAGTTGCTTCACCATACTTCACCACAATGGTCAGTGCGGGCTGGTGATGCTTATTTTGCAATTCATGTGAAAACGAATAAAGACTCAAATGTTTAATAATCAGCCCCAAAGCAAATACAGGTACTTCGCCAATACTACATTACCGTTGGCACGAACAACCCTGACGTGAAAATTTCACCTCATCCCTGTATCATCAACCATACGCTATCCTGCCACTCAAAAGACAACCTCACGTACGTATGTTGAACTTCTTTCCCACCATACGTAGCCAACCGTGCTAATCGGAGGTGTGCGGGGGAAGGACAAAAAAACTCAACACAAAAAGCATTTACAAAGAATCTAAAAGTGCATAGCTCCAATGGCTTCCCAGACGACCGCACAGGCGCATCTGAAAGCGCGCGAAGTATTGACCATCATTGTTCGAAGGTTAGCCAAAAGCCGCCGCTACTGCTGCTGCGACGATGACCGGAGGTTTGCGTGATGGGTTATGCCCCTTGACGAGATCGGCAAGGTATTGACGTTCATTTGTGGCGAGCGCTTTGTGTGTAATGAGTGCCACATCAATGCTGGAATCTAAAGAATTCAACAAATTTCGTAAAAACACTCGCACCCAGAAGCGGCGCTTAATACCCCCCAACACCATATTAGCGGCGGCGAATGATTACGCACAGACACACACACACGCACAGACACACACACACACGCACAGACACACACACACACGCACAGACACACACACACACGCACAGACACACACACACGCACAGACACACACGCACAGACACACACACACGCGCGCGCGCACACAGACACACACACACACACGCACAGACACACACACACGTGCGCGCGCGCACACGCGCGCACGCGCGCGCATGGGAAAGGAATTAAAACGCCGTAATAAAAGGGGGGAGGTAAAACGCGCGGACAAAGGCGCTAATCTGATCACCAGTGGTGGGGAGCGGCGGCACACAAAGCGTGTAATGGAGTGAGACCGCACGCGGATCAACGCGAGCGGTGGGGAGACAAAGGCAGCGCGAGCGGGACACGAAAGAGCGGACAAAACCGGGAGATCAAAAAGCACTTGGCTGTGGCAAGCGCTGGGGAGCTGGGGGGGGGGGGGCTCCGTTGGCAGGTTCGGCTCGTTCACGTGCGTGCGTGAGAAGCGCGGACAACCGCTCATCATCGCTCGCGCCAATGAGCAACAATGCAATGGGTGAGCACACGTTGCTTGAGGATCCATGGGCCCAAAGTCAGTGGTTCTCAAACGTTTTGGTAAGGCTGCCCCCCACACACCCCCCCCCACCCCTCCCAAGATTGAGACGACTTGTCCTCTGGCCACAACACCACAACTGAGGTCTACGACTTTCGTATGGATATAAACGGAGCAGCAAGTAGCGCGGCTGGTTTGCGAGGACAGCGAATGTGGGTCAGAATCATGATCATTATTTACACTGGAGGAATCCGATGAGCTAAGGAGCTCTTTCTCGCAGATGTCGCCACTCGTGCCCGTGGACACGAATGCGCGAAGCGTCCCAACGTGGTTCGTTGCTCGCCGCAGTCGCAATCGGGTCGGAGCAGAGATTATCATTATTATTATTATCGGCTTAACGCACGAACCACTCGAGTACAAAGCGCGCCTATCCATAAGCAAACCGATATTCTTATCGCGATTACTTAATGACCACGGGAGCATGTGGACACTGCGGTGACGTTTGCGAAGGTCACAGTACAGAGACATCACGTGTCGACGCTTCGAAGTCAACGCCGCGGTGGGAAGGAGTCGCTGGGCTTGTTGTGCGTGCGCGGTGATCTGTCGCCGAAACGTGGTGCCCACGTTCCACACTCACATCCGAAATTGCTCCTCCCTCGCGGTATTCATTCCACAGCCCGAGCCAACCCTCTCGCCACCTCTGGAAAAGGTGACCTGTGGGTTAGGAACCGCTGGCCTGACTGCTCACTCACCTGGAAAGGCAGCGCTCTTGGCATTTATTGTGTTTCCCATGGGCATTATGTGGAGCCCTTTGTCAGTGCAATGCTGGATGAGGGCCTCCCCAAGTCGTCCAGGTCGCAATGTGACCGTATTTCACGACGCTGGTGAGTCCTCGTTGGTGACGTTAGATAATACAGTCATTGAGGGATGCATAACAGTGCGATACAACAACGGAATTGATTCGTTTTAGACCCCCCCCCAGGTTTTGTGTCGATCGTGCTTTTTAACATTTTGCTCTTAATGTTGGTGATGGTTGTGGATTAATGAAAATTCGGTAACTGTAAAGCTACTGAAATTACAATTAGTACACTCACTACTACCAAACACGTGCTGCCTCATCATGATGTTGTGTTTGCGAGTTGCCTGGTTGTGGGCATGACTGGGTCTGTGCCACTGTTTCCATGTTGAGAATTGGCCTGTTCCCCCCCCCCCCCCCCCATAATTCATGCTGTAGTTTATTTTGATATTTCACGAAATGTTAATGACATTACTGAAATGTTTATTACTCAAAGTGAAAAAAAATGCATTTTACTTGTTCTGTTTAAGCAAACAGGCAACATCTGTTTTGAAGCCATGTAATGTCGTTTCACAGTGAACATTAATTAAGGGGAATATTAATTGACTATTAGCTATAATGACTCTATTTATATAATTATTTCACAAATTAGTGGAGCTTTTGAGTAGCAACGCTTACAATAAAAGGTAATCAATTCAAGCTGTCAATCACACAAGGAAATAAATAGCAATTTTGTAAACAGGAGGAATTACGAGCACACTGACAAATACGGCACCGTAATTATGGGTTAATTTGTCCATTAAAATGTGGCGGATTTACGACAGAACCACATTCGATAGAATTAGTACATTTACTACAGATCTCCAAACGGCTCCGATCGAAACACGGAATTACTTTACCAAGGATTGCAGAAATGACAGTTTTTATAAGTCGTTTCACACAATTATCAAATGGGAATTAAATAAACATTGTCGACGAATGTACAGCGGCTTCATCTGGTTTCACACATTTTGTTTAAATGTGAAACCTTCATTTTCAGTTCAACGTGGCGGTAATAACGCTCGCCCAAGCTCTCCGATTTACCGCTTTCCAAGCTCAGCAGTCGACGTTACGACGAGAGATTTAATCCCAACAAACCACTGCCTTTCGTAAGGGAAGAGGAATGTAAACGTGTGGCTTTCTTTGTCATGAAATAACGTCCCAGGTTTAATCCGACCGATTTTGTGGCTAATCCGTGAGCGAGGTAGAAAATTATATTGCTCATAGCGAAAATAATAAACAAAACAGATTTAAAATATTTGTTGGTTTTCAGCATTCAGCCACTTGACGTGTTCATTCACTCTATTGCAGGTCGAGTGTGAGCAAATCAACACTGCGGTTACACGGGAAAATTAAAACTAATGGTGCATCACCACATGAACCAGTAGGGGAAATTCCTCATTCATATGGCGGGGGCAAGTATATCCGTGGGGCAACCGACTGTTGACCTCGCCACAAAGTGGTACTTAATTTATCGACCCCAGAGGGATGATGGGCTGATTAAAACCCAGATCTGGATTTGAACTCGCAACCTTCCAATGTGCGAGCCGGCTTGCAGTAGCGCTGGGCGACCTGACTGCGCAGAGCAACGGGTGCTCACGTGCGAACAGTTTTTTTTTATATTAAATCTGTAGGCTTTACGCTTTCCTGCCGACTCAAGTTAACGTCTACTCCGATATTTGTATGACGTGATAAAAAAAAACGACTACAACAACAAGAACCGTGCGTTGTTAACGAGCGCTTGTTTGCCGATTTGCACTACAGCCGAAATGCAGGGAATATGCATGCATACACGAGTGTATCGTGTGAGTGGAATAAACAGTGGACATGAGTGGCAGTTCCAATGGACAGCATGCCAGACATGTAATGGAAAATAAAACGATACGGGAAACACATCCAACATATCGTGGTGTTACGGTAAAAACGTGAATGGACACGGACACTAATTATGGAGATGCGTCAGTGATCCCGTGCTTTGCTGTCAAGCGCTCTCAAGCACTTTCGTTCATATACCGATGATCATGCTGTGTGCACAATCATCAGGATCGGCAATTAATGGATTGTCCATTTCAGAACACACACGCGTGTAGTCGAAATGTTTACAGCACACGCAAATGAGAATCTACGCTTTGCAGCTGTGTCACTTCTCACTGCGGCAGCTTAATAGTCACATCTTATCATTATCTGCTGTGCTGATGTATCACTGCAGCCCCCCACCACATTCCTTGTCAACGATGGAGGTCGTTTGACCATACTTCACCATACCGGTCAATGTGGGTTGGTGAAAAGTTGTGCCCAGGACTGGTTCACTTATCACTCGTGGCTGCCATATATATATCCCATGGCTTTGTATCGAACTCAGGTGGCTGGGTGCATCACACAGCACACTAACCCCTGTTTCACCGCCGACAAAGACTGTAAGCATCAGCAATTACTTCTTGCCGGGCACCTGGAAAAGAGGGTTGGGTGACCATCACTCGATCCAGCTGCAAAGCCCTGGGATTTTTACTCCCCAAGTTCTTCCAGCTCAAGGTGCACATTCCATGACACGAATCCCATGATGCGCGCATCACCAATTGACCTGGAGCTGGCATCTCTCCTTCTTTAATCCACAGATGGATGAAGGCCTCTGCACGTCGCGTCGGACATGGGGGTTGGTTCGCCATATAGAATCAGAATGAGAATATTTATTTATTCATACTGCAGGCATCCGATGAGCATTAAAGCTGTTTTTTTCATGGATGTCTAGTAGGGGCAGGTCAGAAAGTTACAACAACAAACAATACAAAACACGATAGGAGTGCAAAGTATAGGAAAGGTAAACAAATCACACAAAAAATGTAAGGTTTTTTTATATATAAATAGTTTTTTTTTATTTTACCAGGTAAAGCTTACTGAGCTATAAACTTCTTTCTTCAGAAGCGACCTTGCCACAAATGATAGCTCAACGAAGTGGCTTATAGCAGCCATTCAATATAAATATTATATTATAAATATTATAAATAATGTAAATAATATAAATATTATTAATAATATAGATAATATAAATATTATAAATAATATTAATATTATAAATAATATAAACAACCAGACTATGCTGACCAGTACAGGTTGGTGAAAGGAGGGCCCAAAAATCAGCTCAGACATCACTCGCCACTGATGCAATCCACAACGTGAAATCAAGCTCAGGTCGCACACTGTCAGAATGCAGTGACCTAACTACTATGCCACTGCTCCCCAGTGATCATGAACCCACTGTGAATGAGTAGCACCTCCTAACACCCAGTCACCTCCCTCCGCTCACACATCACAAAGGGACGAAAGGAGATACTTACAATCGTATATACACAATGTGCTGATGGACGAACAAACGTACAGATGGACAGAGTCCACTGACTGATGGACAGAATCAGGGACAGACACTGAGGGACTGATGGATGGAGGGTCAGACTGACGAACTGACACACAGAGTTGATGGACAGACACACTGATGGACTGACCGATCGACCCACATACTGAACGTACTGATTAACAAACGGACGGATGGACGCGCGACTCTCATAACCCAGGCGTGATCACGGAGCGCGCGCGTACCCGTTGAGCACAGGAGCGACAGTGCGTCGCCTGGGGCAGCTCGCGGAAGGTGAGCCCTCCATCCGGCGACACGAGCACAGTGCCGGCGTATCGACTCAGCGGCCGCTCCTCGGCGCACAGCAGGTCGGCAAACAGCTCCACGGGGCTTCCCGACTCGGTCTCCGCCGCGCCAGCGCCTAAGGTCATCACGGGCACGCCGGGCGAGCGAGCACGGCTGACATCGTCGGGCTAGGAGCCGCAGGACGTGACTTGCTGACCCGCCCACACTGGACGTATGTGAAGAAGAGATTCGTAGCTCATCGGATTCCTCCAGTATAAATAAAGATTCTGATGGATCCTCTGCATTGTTTTTGTTATTGTTTTCGGGGCCGTACCGTGGGGTTGGGCACGATGTCTGAAGTTTCGCTGTGCGTGCCGGGAGCTTCTTCAGGAACCGAACAATACGGTTGAATAATTCAGAACTCAAGAAGCTCCCGGAGCGAAACGTCGCGACATCGTGCTGAACAGCACGCGGCGCGAGCCTGGAACACGTCGGAGAGTTAACGCAGCAGCGCCACCGCGAAATCCTACGCCGTAGCCACTAGATGTCACCGGAGATCTTATCGTGAGCTCCGCTTGATGGGAACCGTGATGGGGGGTGGGAGGCATCTAGTCAGTGGCGCTTGCGCTGGGATTTTAAAACATTTCTCTAATTTCCACAAGCCGCGCTTCGCTCTGCACACCAATAATCGAGCGCTTCCGAGGCTGGGTTGGTGAATAGAGCAAACGTAACCAGGCGCAGGACAGCAAGCCGGCCCATCGACCTTTCTGTTCAGATTTTGGAGCGTTATCCCTGATTATCTTTGGGCACTACTTTTTTTTTTCTTTGAGCGAACAAAACAGGGCACGTTTGTTCTGGAAACAAATGTGAAAATGTGTCTCCAGGCTCAATACGGTTTTCTTGCTGAAAATAAAGGACTAAAATTTAAGAATTTCACTTGAACTCATCCAAGCGTATCATGTTTGTTTTGTTTTTGTGCATAAAGCCCTGACACCGAGGCAACCATAATGGGTGTCACGGCAGCGAAATGTTAACTACCTCGCCTGGTATGCAGGGGGTCGAGGGTTCAATCCTGACCGTGCTGTATATTTGGAGTTTGCATATTCTTCCCCTGGTCGCATGGGTTTTTCTCCGGGTCCTCCGGTTTTTCTCTTCACATTTAGAATCAACACGCATTTGGAGTATTTGGATGCTATACATTTCTACGTGACAAGATAATTCATTGAGCTATAATTTGTGGCAAGGTCGTTTTCTGAAAAAGAGCTATGTACAGCTCAGTGGTCCTTACCTGGAAAAATAAAAAGTTTAAGCTTAGTTTTAGTTTAATGTCATTCAGGTTACGTGCGTCACCCACCGTGCTTATTATCACACTAAACGTGACATCTGGAAATGATCCTTTGTTGAACAAACACCGTCTCATGTTGCTGGCGTGCGGCAGTGTTGCCCACTTATGTCATCCTAGCAGACTCCGATTCCGGAACTGTTTACGATTAGGGGGTGGAATTCACAGATTACTGGTTTATTTGTCTATACATCAAGTATAGTGACATTTAAATTAAAATAATAACATGTTTTCGAAAATGTGCTTTAACCACACCTATTATATATTTTATCTTATGAATTCGTAACTACACGACGCATTTGGCTTTCACCTACAAAGATATAATGACTACGCATGTCTGGTTACACTTGTTAAAAGGATGGGCCATCGACTAAATTCTCAAGAGCGTGGGGACATTTTTAACTTTAATAATCCGAGCGAGCAGTCAGGAGGGAGTTCTGCCCTGGGTTTTTGAGATTTTATTCAGTGGGAATTTATCCAGGAAGCAGGGGTCAATGCTCCAGGCCTTTATCAAAGAGCCCTGCAGAATCTCCAAGGTCCATATGGTTGAGAGGGCTTAGATTTAACATCTCATCCCATGAAGCAGCTAAAGCACGTTAAGCGAATGTTCTGAGTAGGCATTACGATTTAAGTTGATGTTAAAATTAATTTTCTTAATGCCGTATTTGAGATTTATATTTTCTGTTATGTGGTCTTTTTTTGTACTACAAAAGATTGCGCTGAGAGAATTGTTCGTCAAATGCTGACAGCTGAATGTCACAAAAACTAGCTCCATCGCACACGCTTGTGACAATAACGCCGGCACCAATCACGGTAATGCATCACGGTACAGCGCTTTAATTATTCATTTTCTTTTTAATTGCAATTATTCTCATTTTCAAAGATCAACCCCCCCCCCCCCAAATAAATCTTATTAAAAGTAATGAGTAACAATTAAAAAAAAATAAGCCGGGCAACTTACCTGGGTTTAAATTTCCAACGCTGTCAGTTGCCCTCAGCTTCATAATGTGTTTCTGTCGTTCCTGAAAAGTTATTTAAAAAGCTGTCAATTCTGCGACACTCGAATTTGGGATGAGGCAGTGCTTAATTTGTTGCGGTGAAATTAAAATCCATTGCACACGGAAAGGTTGTTATAGCCGCTAATTCGCGAGGCGTGTTTGCCGAAAATGATTTTTAGCGCACGCCAAAAAAGTGACTGAGTATGCCACTTTGGACTTTTGTCACATCTTCAGAGGGCCATTTTAAAATAAACATTTGAAAGTGTGATCCTTTTCATTAAGTGAGAATATTCAAATTACGCAAATGGAACGTGTGATCGAACAAAGAGCAGTAACGGCAGAGAGAAAGATCTGTCCTTGTGATATTAAAAGATTCTTGAGGGTCCCATTAGAGGCGTAAGGATTCAGTAGACATTTTTTTACATCTCTAAGAGAGAAAACGACGTTTTATAAATAAGATAAATCAACGGCTAAGGGCTACGAAAAGCAGGAAACACATTCTACGGTGAACTCACTTTTCCAAAATCAACCTCTCTTACAATTCACATTAAATATCCTGTAAAAAAAGTGATTACTATAACTATTAACAGTGGTGGCGCTATGCGGTTAGTATGTGTAATGTGAATTATATTTTAAAGCTTGAACCTTCGTGTTAAAGGGCATTTGTTGCATTGAGATTAAAGGCTACAATCTACTTTAACAGTGGGACTACATCTCAATTACACCTATGATCGCTGATCATGTACTTTGTATTTTTTCATGGCAGTGTTATTGAGATATGTGTTGCGTTTGTTCAAATCCCCATTGGAGGGGGGGGGGGGGGGGGGGGGGGGAGTTGGTCCATTCAGACCTTCATCGTCACTCCAGGGTCGATAAAACGAGTACCACAATGTGAGAAGTCAGCAAGTGGTTGCCCTAAAGAGTGGATCACCCCTGCCACAGGAATGTGGTGTTTCCACCGCTGGCTTAGGGGCTGTAATAGTGGGAGACGGGGACCGCCAACGCGCACCCGAGCAGCAAACCATCTTTGACCTTCCATTGACTTTTTTCGCTAGTAAATAAATCACCCTGAATGCGCCCGATCGTGTGAGCCAAGCAGGTGTGAGCCTGGTTATGGATTTACATGTGCAGGAGAATGCTTGGGGAAGCGCCAGGTGGTCTAAACTTGGACTTGGCAGTACCGCAGTGGATTTTTGAAGCTCTGTACGAGTTTGAGCGTTATGCCCCAGACCCCTACCCTGATGTAGGATTTCTCCGGTTGATCCAGTTGCTTTGCACAAGCCAAACATTCTCAAGACGGAATTGGCCGAGCATCCTCAGGCAGGACTGTCCTGAAAGAATTTTACATCTCAGTTCGGCTTTCCCAGGTAAATAAAGGACATTGTGAAACTGCTACAACCATTCGCGTACAGTCCTACCAAAACGAGTCCAGGTGTAGCTTACAAGGCTTTTTTTATTCATTCAAGAGCGCAGCTGAACCAACCTCATCCCAACATCCGGATAGCGGCACGCAGTGGCCTAGTTTTCGAGTGTGCAGGCCGGTGCAACTGCACCGAGGCCTACGGGCCACAGGGGCCAAGGAAGCAGCTGGGCTACAAATAGACGGGAGGGGATTTTTTTTAAAATATAAACGAAATTTTGTATTTGACAAGGTAAGGCCCACTGAGCTATATAGCTCTTTTTCAGAAGCGACCTCGCCACAAATGATAGCCCAACCAAGTGGCTCATCACGTGGAAATGTACAGCAGCCAAACACTCTAAACGCACGTTTCTAAATGTGGAGCGAAAAACCGGAGGACTCGGAGAAAAATCCACGCGAGCGCGGGGAGAACGTGCAAAATCCAAATATACAGGCGTCAGGGTTGGGATCGAACCCACGACTTCCTGTATACCGGGCGAGGTAGTTCACATCTCGCCACCTTGGACATGTGGTGGCCCCATCATTTCATTCCCAGCACCGTGATGCACGCCAGCCCACGGCTAAACCACTGGCGGCGGCGGTCGCGGTGGGTGAAGGGAGCGTAGATCGTCACCTGCTCCGCGCAATCCTCCAGGAGGCTCAGCTCCTGCTCCAGGCTCTCGCGGTGCCGCCTCAGGAGGCCACGCTCCAGGCTCAGTTCCGCCGCCGCGCCGCGAAACGCGCCGCGCTTGCGCGCGCCCTGCACGCCGCACGCGCCAGGGTCTCATTCGTGGCAGTTTGTCCGGGGGTTGGTGACCCAGAAAATATTTCCCTTACCACAACACAACCACCGCATCCAGGGCATAATTTATTATGGAATATTTTTTCTGGGGCCACGGCAACACCACCCCCCCACCCCTTCCCCCCACCACCCTACGACCCGCAGGGACGATGGTGCAGAGAAATATTTTCCTGAGCTTAGCCCCGGGACAGCTCCGGACTGAAATCAAGCCTCTAGCTATGACCGCGGCTACGAGACATGTGCCACCTACTCGAGTCTACAAACGAGCCGCACAATGAAGAATCGTTCTGCATCCCCAGACGCCACATCCAGTACACGTCTCGCTATGGCTGTGGCTACTCTTAGCCACGTGCCACCTCGTGACTCCCGAGAGTCTACCGGGGACCGAAAACACTCCATGAGAAATTCAGAGCCCTGGCAAGACAACAAGCACGCACGCCCGGGCGCACGCAGCAGCACCTCCGATGAGCAAGGTTTGCTAAGCACGATGCCAAAGAAGTTCGACATCCACACATTAGCATGAACAGTGAAGCTCTGCCCCTCTCGCCTGCAGCACCATGTGCGTTGGGTGATGGCAATAAGTCCGGACTCACGCGCCTATTGGTTCTGTTATGGAAAATTGTGTGGGGTGTTTTTTTTGGTGGGTGGGTGGGTGGGTGGATGGATGGCGTTCAATGCTGACCCGCCCATACTGGGCATCTGTGACAAAGAGCTTCATAGCTCATTGGATTCCTCCAGTCTACAATAACGATTCTGATTACGAATGTACAGGGTACATTCAATTGTTACTACTGCGTCGGTTTTGACGGTTGTGCCGTGCTGCGCTTTTGGCTTGTTCAGCACGATTTCAACGGGCATTAATTTTAGGGCAGCTTCCTCAGGACTATTAACTTCTTTCCGCGCGCCATTTGCTTTGCGAGCGATGTGGAACGCCTGCTCACATGCTGCGAAGGTTTAAATAACAATGAAAAAAAAAACATTTTTTCTATTTCACCGGAAAAGCATTTGTAAGTAGGGCAGTACGTTGGAGCGTTTGACCAGTTCCTCAAACGAGCGTTTGGCATCCGAGAAGAAACTGAGCTGCTGCCCGGAGAAATCCGAATGCACACGAGGGGCCGATGCTCGGAGCTCCGATTCAACACTCCATTGCTCCACTGCCACTTGCTGTCCAATTCTAATGGCAACTGCAAAAAAACCCTGCAGCTTAGTTTAACTGTCCTTTCCCCGCACTTCCGATTAGCACGGTTGGCTACGTACGGTGCGAAACAAGTTCAACATATATGCATACGGTGGTATATACAAATATAGTCATTTACAACCCGCTTTGTCAACCCACTGCTGGATGGTCTCCCGTGTCAGTCGTAGAGGATTTTTCTTATTAATATTACAGCTATTTGATTGCACTGGGTGCAATTGTGAACAATAGCCGTATCAGATATGAGTACATCTAATCGGCATGATCATTGGCATGACTGCAGCTCAAAGACTCAGTCCTACACGGCGCGTGGTGAAGTCAGCAGATGTCCAGGTGCTCAGCATTTGAAGGCCCGAAGACCGGAATCGGTGATCTCGCCAACAATGTGTCCGAGGAGGCAGTTTCATATCGCGGACAGCAGAGTGAAGGCAGCTTCTGTCCAGGGAGCATTGTTTGACCATACTTCAGCCACGCCGGTTAGTGTGGGTTGACGAAGGGGCAGACACCCAGAACGGGGTCGGATATCACCCGCCGCTGGTGTTTAGCCGCGAGCGGGAATGGGAGCGGGGCGGTCGGATTTGCAGGCGCAGTGCTCAAACCACTGCACCACCATTCCTCCCAGCGTGAGCAAGTTTAACATTTACAATTACCCTTGTGTACAACAAAAAGCAGCCCCGAGCACCGATCGCTAATTTGACAGTAAAAAAATCGTAAAGCAGATAAAAAAAAATTGCGTTAATTGTGCTTCTGACATGTGCAATAAATATCGATTATCGAGAATATCACCGCACCACCAATTAAGCCCAATGCATGAGATGATTTTTCCCCCATATAAATGCTAACGGCACTATTATATGAAATATGTTGCACAATCAATTTAGATAATACATGATTTCCTCCTTTAAAAGTATATTTAACAGTCCCATTTATTAAAAATCACACTTTGGCAGCAACATAGGCCCAATAATGAACAAAAACCATCTCATTTACAGTAAATGAGGTAATTCAATACAAATGTCGAAACAGTAACGTGTTTGAATGAAGAAAATGAATAAACCTTCCACATCGAACAGTAAGACTATTATACAGGGTGTTCATACAAAAATATACGTTTTGCTTATAGCCTGTACTCATGATGGAGACATAACAGCGAGCACTGTCTACTCGGAGCTCATCTCCTCCCCTCCTGCTTCTTCCCCACGTTTATCCTTCACGAGCCCCCTTTCTCGAATCTTCCCTCGCTGTTTTTTTTTCTTCCCCGCAACCAATCCCCGTCCCTTCACTGGCAACGGTTCCCAACCGTCACCGCTCCGTTTCCCCGCTTTTTTCCCCCTTAAATATTTTCCTCCAGTCGCTTCGAACCCTGCCAATCATCGTGGAGGCCTCTTTCCGCCAACAGGACGCCTTGGCCTACGTTTTGAATAACAGTTTGGCTGCACATTGGCTTGAGGTGAGTGCCTCTTAATTTCGGTCATCATTAGATCATGATTTTATCATCGCACAGCAGGGTTGAACTCGATGGTTGAATGTTGGGTACGCGTGCGCGGTAAAGCACGTTGCCAAATGAATTAAAATCTTGAGTGACCTTCAACGGTGCAATTGAAAACGGAAGCATTTGAGTGACCATTGCGCAGCTGGGATGGTGGCCAAGACCTGGGACTCGCTCCCTCTCTCTCTCTCTCAAAGCTCGACGTGACGCATGTCGCCAACGCCCTGGTCGACACGTGGAGGTTGAGAGAGGGATGAGACTCATACGAGGAGATATTTCATCATAACTACCGGAGTGTGAGTGGGCATGCATAGCTCTATTGACCTAGCTCAAACTGGTGGGGAGCGGTGGTGTAGCGGTTAGCACGCAGCACTCCGGACCAGGTCACCTGGGTTTGATTCCCACTCACGGTCAACACCGGTGACAATTATCTGAACCGGTCTTAGGCCTCCCCTTGGTAGACTCAGTCTCAAATGAGTACCTGGTTGCAGTGTGCAAACATCGCCACTGGGGAGACAAAGGCGGCCGGGCGTGGTGCTGGCCACCCAACCCCTCGTGTGCTGTTCCAGCCTTCATAGGTGCTCACAAACAGCACTCGCCCCAACAGTCTGTTAAGGCTACACGGGGGATCTTCGCATAGCTCTATCGACCAAGCTCAAACTGTAGTTGAATTGGAATTCTTTAATAAACAATCATAACTTTATGGCGGGGAGGGGGGGGGGTAAATCCTATGTGGGTCACATACAAGCACATCATTTCATTTCTCGCGGCTCTGACGCATTGAGGCCTTCCGTTTCGACCGGCTCCACAAAACGATATTCATCCGCTGCCGCTGCGAGCGTCTTAGCTGCACCAATCGTACACTTTGACCCAGCGGGGCTACGCTTCTCATCTCAGCACGCTCATTCACATGTTAAAAAAAAGGACCATCGTTATTTGTTGTGACGTTATTGATAACGCTAAGCCGCGTGTTAAAGTGTGGTGGCCCGCCACAAAGGAAAGTCACCACTCTGCCCTTGGTATGTTATTGGGTCACTTTGGCCCCCGCTTTATGAATGCCCTGTATATAGATCATTAGAAGCGTGTGTGTGTGTGTGTGTCTCTGCTCTATACCCAACCTCATCGTCGTCGGGCAACGGAGGAAGAACTTTGTCCAAATTTTCTGGGAGCGCTTCCACGTCTTGAGTTCCCAGCGTCAGCCATTGTCGCAGTTGACTGTCCAGGTATTCCTCGTATTCTGGCAGAAACACGTCAAACGTTCAGCACAGCCTTAAAAAGAGTTGTTCATGTGCTATGCAAACACAAGCCTTCTGGGGAGACAAAAGCAGCCGGGACGCGTGGTGCTGGCCACGCTACCGCCCCGCGCGCCGTGCCGGCCTAAATTGAGCGCTCACCACGAGGCCCTTGCACCCCCGCCCGACCAGTCTGTGAAAGGCTACACGGGGGATCGCTGTCTTTGTGCGTCGGACAACCTAACGGCGTGCTAACAAGGGGGCTCCGTATTTGGACCTTTTGAAAAGGCTTTGTCTGTCGCACAAAACGCCTCACGGTGCGAGAGCGTCGCAAGATGTTTTAGGCGTCCGCGGACCAATTCGCTTACGCCGTGCACGGGGAGGGGGTAAGGGGGGGGGTGCAGCCTCGCCGTGCAAGTTGGGCGGGTGTCTTGCCAGTGAACGGCTCCCGGCAGCTTTTATTATTATTATTATTACTCGGGACAGCCTTACCGAGTCTCGTAGCTCTTTTTCAGGAGGGTCCTGCCAAGTTTGTCGCGCGAAGCGGGCGACAACTGCTATTGTATGACCCCCCGAATGAGTCAACTGTATGTATACGTATGTTGAACTTCTTTCGCGCCATACATAGCCAACCGTGCTAAGTGGAGGTGGGTTAGGCGACGGATACAATCCGCAAAGTTCGCCTCGCACTTCGTCGCAGATGAAGAGGGAGTTCTGTTGCACCACGATTATGTTACATTTACGCAAGCGCTGGCTAAGCACAAAGTGCCGAACCGGCCGCGTGAGTGCTACTGCGCGCTTAAAGGTTCCGTCGTCAGCACAATCAGCATTTATGTCGCCTCGTCGGATGCGGAGAAAAAAATACGGGGTTTTTTTGGTCAAAAATGCTGTGGGTGACCTTTTGCAAGATTCAAAACAATTTTAGAGGCATCCGAACGCCCCAAGAGACCAACAGCGACTGTGCACGCTGCTTCATACGATGACGGAGATGGTGGGGGAGGGGGGCTCGAGACTAAGGGGGGGGGGGGGGCGCCTTGGTGGGGGTTGAAACACAGGAACCCCGAACCCAGAGGGACACAACTCACTTGAGAATCGCGCAATCCGACATCCTCATTACATGAGAGACCAACACTCCTTGGGGCAAAAAACCTTTCGGCAAATACCTGGCCGAGTTGCAAGGACCGTCGGGCATTACTTGACGAGGAAGTTGAGGGATGGAGGGGATAGGTTACCTGCGAGGTAGCTCAGCAAAAAAGATAGAACAATTGGCCGTGGGCATTCACATGCCCCTTGCAGCAAGGCCTCTGATTTAGTGGCGTCCATTGCTCAACGTTAAGAAATCGTCGGTCTTGCACGGCCGGACGCTAAAGCCAGCCGTCCCAAATAATAATTATTCACGTGGCACACACGCCAAAAGGTACCCGTCTCGGACGAATTTTGCCAACCTCACCCGCCACGAGCTAATATGTCTCTGCTAATGACATCTATGCTCCCTTTGAACCCAGTGGAAGATCTGGGCCAAGCCATGAATAACTCTTCGGCCGCTAATCTAAAGCACTTGCAAAGACCTGAGAAGCACGTGTGAGCGCACATCGACGGTCGCGACGACGACGATGATGAATCGGGCGGTCGCGACGCAGAGAACTGTTTTCGCTTTCCACGCATTCACAAAAGTATGCGGCTTTCAAACAAAGTAATTGTTGCGCCATTGATCTCGGAGGCAGACCCCCTTTAAAGTGTAAATGTTTCTCCTATTAGTACGAGTGATATTAATGGCCTGCCCAATTGTATTTGAGAATAACAACATATTTTGCGGATGAATAATACATTGAACAATACGGTTTATTTGATTTTACATTCTTATAGCCGTCTACGATAGACACGTACACATATCACGTAATTGATTATTTAAACAATATTTATTTAAATGGGAATGACAAAACGCATTACAGATGTCACGCCTTACTTTAAGACAATGCGGCAATTGTTCACTAAGTGTAATTATTGCTCCCGGCTTCGCGTGCCAAAAAACGTGTACACAATGACAACAAAATATCATGAGAGAGCTGCACAATTCGCGCATAGCGTATTTCTTGTGTGTTTCGTTTGTTGTCCTTCACCCGCACCTCCCATGAGCACGGTTCGCTATGTACGGTGAAAAAGAAATTCAACAAATGGAAATGTGCACGGCATATGCGCCATGTATTGTATGCGAACCCCAAGACTAATTCAATTATTCAACACGTGTGGCTTGGTTGCACATTTATAATATAATAATTAAAACTAGATGTCCTCTCACGCAGCGGAATAAAGATTCATGAAATGTACGGATGGTATTTGAATATGCTAGGGGGGAAAAAAAAACATTAACCTCAATACGTAATTAAAACGATATGAAGACAAACGCATCAGGACTAAAAGTTATGGTTGTCCCAGGACACACAGGGTCATTGGATGAGAGGCTAAGGTTCAGCAATGTGCCAGTGCATATGTGGTACACATGTGGTCATCATTTACAAATGTTACCAAGACGTTGTATTCAGGGGCGGGGCCAGGGGGGGTGACAGGGTGGGTGACATTCTGCGTCTAATTGTACGACACTCGGTCTGGCGGACTCCGTGCAACTGCATTGTCAAGAGTGTGTCGCCAACCGATGGCGTCTAGTTCAACAGCCTGACTCTCTAAATCATTCTTGAAATTAAAATTTGTTGAATGTCACCCCGGCCTGAAATCCTGGCTCCGCCCCTGGGTGTATTTATCACATTAGCTATTATCTTAGACGCAGCAGCTTATCGACTGGAGTCGACTCTTACGGTCACGATGCCTGCATTGCGCTGCGTCACGTGCGTGTAAGAATCGATTAATAATTTATAGTTTAACGAGACGTTGCGCTAGCGCTACGGCTGAGCAAACGGACCGAACAAAACTGTGCAAACAAGACAGAGAAACAAGAAAAGCGATACAAAACGAGACAGATAGAACAAGGCGACAGCTAATTATTGTTGAATTGAATCGCGAGCCCTGAATCATGATGGTCTATCGAATCACTGGAGGAATGAAGCGTGCCATGCCTATTCGTCACAATAATCATCATCATCATCATAGCCACACTCTTGAGAACCAAACATCAATGCCCATCTAGCCATCGACTCAATGATTAATCTAATTTCTGGGAGAAGTGGGAAAGTGGCAGCTGGATCATCGCATTCTTACATCGTACAAACTATAACCGCTATCGGTGAACATTCACCAAGTGACACGACAATTGCATTTGAAATTTGGGTTTCCATGAATGCCTAAAACACGTTCAGACCCACACACAAACGCGCGGCTTACACTCACCGTCCATAAGTTGGTGACGAGTTGGTAATATTTGATTTTCCAACTGCCGGCTCATCTCAATATCACTCAGCAGATGGTTCTGGCGGTCGGGAAAGAGTAATGCGCAAAAAAAACACAACACCAAATCTGTGATGTATTACTGCTCCGAGTCTTTTGATTCATTGCCTGTTACAATGTGCAACGGACATCGTTTTTTGCGCTTTGCATTTGCGCTACTTTTATGTAAACGTTTTGATAAAGCTTGAAAGCATAACTGGACGTCTAAGCCATATGTCATTGTAGTAATCTTCACAGAGCAGCATAACCAGCTGCAGAAGCTTACACAATGTGCATTAGACATTTGAGAAGCACCAACGTATTTTGTATGCAGTAACGTGGCAGATTAAGCGTTGAGAGAAAATATTACATGAAGAGCCAAGCATTGACAGAGGAGTTAGAATAGAATATTCGTGCGTGCATGCATGCGTGCGCGGGCATGTATGTAAAAATGAGTTTGCAAAGCCACTCTCGGCACGGTGTATAAATCGCACGACGCACATTAAAAAAATATACAACTTCCTTCCCTTGCGCAGAACGGGTGTGGTGTAAGAGGATCAACAGCAATAGCAGTGTTGGTGGCCGGCCCCACAATGGGGACCTATACATAGTCTGCTAGGCTGTGTAGTTGGGTGTTAGGGCAGTGGTGGTGGGGTGTGGGAGCTGTACAATTGAACCAAAAAAAATGCCCACCAACCCTAACGCAACCTGCACCATCCCCCCCCCCACCCCACACGTAAAAAAATCCGCCCACATTCAAGGGGTCCCCAGACGATGCGTCGTGCAGTAATCCACTGGCTAAGATTATGTTGAACTTCTTTCGCACCATACGTAATCGAACCATTCTAATCAGAGGTGCGGGCGAAGAACAAGCCTAGGACACGCCACGCCCGGCACACCACATATTTAATAACTCTCCTAATGGCGAGGATCGATTAAGCTTATTAATCGCCTAAAATTACAACTGGGCCGATTTTGTTTGTCAGTTACTCGGGCCCATTTAAAAACGGCGGGTCACTCTCACAAGGCAGAAAACCCCCGGTAAGCCACGCCCAGCGTGATGCAGGCAATGGCATCGCCAGACTCCGCCCATCACCTCCCATCCAGCGGCACACGTGGGAACAGAGGTGAAACCGTATTTCCAGCTATTTTCTTGCAATCCGTTTCGTCAAGTAATTCAACCTATGGTATAATCGGTAGGGTAATCGGTTACTAATATGAATCGGATAGCCCGGCTCTAACAACTATTACCGATCCGTGCGTAACTTTGGTCGACACAAGCTAAGAGAGCAATAAACGCACGCTCCCCCCAACCCCCCCCCAACCCCCCCCCCCCCCCCCCCCCCGCTATCTCACAAACAGATTTGCGATAATTGCCCGCACTTATACACAAAGCGAGGGTGCGATTATCAAGTGTGAATAATTTATATGTATAAAAAAGAACTACCGTAAGGCAATTCACCAGAGCACGGTTGGCCGTGTACGGTTCGACGACATATACCCACGTGCACACAACGCGGGAGAGATGACTGTGCGGGAGTCGGAGCACGCTGGATAGTGACGGACGCGCTGATTCTACCTTTTTAGACGCCAGCACAGCTTGTCTGATGCTGGTCGGCTGCTCGCTGCTTGAGCTCCCATTGTTCTCTTCTGCAGGAAATTGAAATGCTGAAACCGACACGATGATTAAAGTCAATTATCTGAATGCTTGCGAGGGTAAACAACGACACTAATTACATTACTTAATAGGCAAACAGCAACGTGGCCAATTTAGCCCGCGTTTATTATCAGTTAATGCCTATTAATTCCACATTGCGTCTTAGGAGGATGGCTCCATTCCAAAGTCATAAACACGGTAAAGCTGATGCTTTTCGAGTACCTCTTACCAGGTGGAGCAATTAATTGGAACAAAAACGTCTTCGGCGATCAGCCAATGAATTACAACCTTCATTTGGCCAAACTTGGCACGAGTAATGCTGCTTTCCCTTTGGGGGAGATTGTTCCATGTACGTATGTTGAACTTCTTTTGCGCCGTACGCAGCCAACTGCGCTAGTCGGAGGTGTGGGAGGAAGGGCAACAAACTAATTGAGATTTAAAAGTGCAGAGCTCCAGTGACTTCTGAATATCGTAAGGAAGAGCATTCCAGACGGCCGCAGAAGCGCATCTGAACGCGCGCGATGCGGTGACCGCCTTTGCTCGAAGGCTAGCCCAAAAGCTGCTACGAGTTCGTGCGATGGTTTATTTGTGGCATGGGAATGTGGAACTGCCACCACTGGCTCGGGACCATGAGCACGGCTCATTTGAGCTGGGGGACGCGTTTGCGTGAACTCGGACAACAATCGTGGGATTGTAAAAGTGCGTCGAGGCTGAAAAGAAATAAGGACACAATAATTCGGTACTCACAAAATGTGACTTATAGACAGCAAAAGGCGAAAATGTGACCGTAGGATTATTCTTCCCAGCGTGCTCTCCCATTGTTACAGATTCTAGGGACACAGTCGCATTTTTTGCCGTCTAGAAATCACTTTAACATGCATTGTTATTCTTTTAATCTGTGTCGAACCTACAATCTTTTTTTCTGACACGCAACGCATGATGGAAGGGCTGATCCTACGGCGGTGACCAGATTGTACAGGAGCCAACTGGACCCATGGATTGCAGTTTTTTGCATTTGTTATTAACAAAGTCAAGTAGTACAGAAAAAAAGCAATGGCACCTATTGCTTTCTGAAATCGCCTTCTCCTCTAAATCATCAAACTATCCAATGAAGGTAGACTGATAGACTGATACAGAGCACAGAAGTGTCAGTGCAAACACACGCAAGTGAATTTAACAGCAACAAGACGCGACCAGGCTGGCCTAGGAAGGCAAACCACGGAAGGTCCTGGGCCGTGTGCACGCAGCGCGTCACTGCGGACAGCCGCTGACCGGCTTCCAGCTTCCTGAAGCCCTCCCGGTACTGCAGAAGCGATCGTCTCTCTCCAAGCAGCCTCTGCATCTGCCCGTTGGCCTCACGCAGGAAATCGCGGCACTGCCCAGTGTCGGCCCTGCTCTCCTCCAGCTCCGACTCGAAGCGCGCACGTGAGCTGTACGCCAAGAGAGACAGAGGGGAAAACAAACGTGGAAATGCAAAGCTCCATTGTTTGGTTTTTTTACACCAAGGAAAGGAAGGAAGCTGCCCGGAGTCTCTGGAACAAACGCCAGGGCAGGCGTTTGCCGCATAAACCTCGCGAGCGCTGGCGACACGGCGCCCGTGCAAACACGCCCGACCGCTCGCAGTCCCGCGCAAGCCCAAGATGCACGCACACACACAGCGAGCACAGCTGTCCGCGCGTGATAATGGGTGTGCAGGTATAGCTTTATCGCGGATTTGCAAACCCGGTCGGCTGATTGAAGTTGCCGGAGCGGCATCCCCTACGAGGGGTGTTAGCCGGATAAGAACCCGGCCCCTGTTCTTTGGCACCGCGAGCGCTGAGCTGCCCCCAATTCCCTTTACTCTTTATAGGGGGGGGGGGGAGAGTTCTTCCGCTTTTCTCTTTAGTACTTTGGCTCTGCCCCGAGAGTTCAAACCCACGAGTTTTCCTATTCTGTGCTCTTTAATCAGCTGATTAAGCCTTAATTAAAGGGAAATCCAAGTCTTTTTGGTGTAATGCAACCATTTTTTTTTTCTAACAATATCCTTTTAAAGTAAGCCACCAAAGGAATATGCCCTCATTAAAATTACCCTGGGCGCACGCACTTATGTATGCATGTGTGCGCGCATGCAGCAATTCGAGATCCATTAGAGCAATCGCAGACGATAATTTGTAAAGTTCATCGGTAAGATAAGTGAGCATGGATGGTCCGCTTAGTTGTTGGGGGCGGTCATGCTGTTGTTCTGTATTGTGGTAATTTCAATCGGCATTCAACTATGCACGGACAAATACGTTGTATAATATCTGGTATCAACGTGCAGAATACACACGTGCAAAAATATCCCCCGTAAAGCCTTCACAGACTGTTGGGGCAAATGCTGTTAGTGAGCACCTCTACACATGTTCATGCACTTGTACACACATACACACCCCTCGTCCAGAAGTGCAAATGTCAAAAGGGCTCCACATGTGCACATACATATGTAGTGTATGTGCACATACATTTGTAGTGTATGTACACATACATGTATAGTGCATGTTCACATATATGTGTAATGTAATAGCGCCGGCTGGTGGCCAGCACCGGCAACTGTGGTGGACAGACAGGATACACGCCGATGAGCGTGTGCACGGTGTGTGTTGGCAGGGCGGAGGAACTGAGGCAAGGGGTCATGGAGGACCCCATCTGGAAGCCCCTGGAACCTGCTAGCGTGTTCGAGAAGGGAGGCACGGGCAGGGCGGAGCCAGGCCGCGCTGGTAGGATAAAAGGCGCCGAGGCTACCGGTTCTGGGATTGGATTCGTCTCGTCGTCCTGTCGTCTCGTCGCCGTCGTCACTACCATCTTCGATTGATATTGCGCTGCTAGATAGTTGTTGGCTGTCTCCGTCAGCGCCGTCGGCGTTAGACGGCTCGTGTTGTGTACAGGCTAAGCGACTGTAGAGAGTGTGCAGACGAGACCGTGAATGTTCAAATAAAAGAAGTTGCCTCCTACAAACTTCGCCTCCGAAACACTGACACTACATATGTACCGTAAACGCACGTGCTCATGTATAAAGAGTAAACAATCGCACACGTGATGGGGAGTGATAGGGTAGTGGTTTCCGAACTGTGTTACAAACCCAGCGATCCGCAGTCAAAATAATGGTGACAGCGGATATTTGAACGGGTCCTCAGCCTCTCCTAGGTCAACTCAGACTTAAATGAGTATCTCATACAGTGTGTTAACATCAGCACTGGGAAGACAAAAGCAGCTAGGCGTGGTGTTGGCCACCCATCCCCTCGTGCTCTCTGCCTTCCTTCATAGGTGTTCGCTAAAAGCACTTTCCCCAAAAGACTGTTCAAGGCTATACGGGGAATATTTGTATTTTGCAGTAAACATAATGACCCATTTGTTAATTAGCATGTTTACACAGAGTTATCGTCAGTTAATAAAGCACCAATCAGTCCCAATGAAGCCCTATTTTACTCTCGTGTGAGTAATTCTTGGTGGTCTCATGTAAAAGGTCGAAGTAATTTCTGTCTGGGAATTCTTTGTTTTCCATGCACCCAGGATGAACGCTAACTTTTCAGAATTTTCTTTGCTTACAGGGTTTATATATATGTCAGTAGATATATGTGTACTGGGGTCCGTGACTCTGAAGACATATACTCATCACATACTTGGATTTTTATAACCGTGTCATCCGTCGACCCCGAAACAAACGGGTTTTTTTTTTAACAATCAACAAAGGGGGGCGCCTCCCCATGTGTGCCAGAGCCTTCGTCTAACGGCAGACAATTAACGCAAATTACCACTGGGTAAAAAATCCCGTTAATTTCATCTCTTTGGCGTAATTAACAAAAACAGCCACTGTGCGAGGCAATTATCATAAATAAACAAAAGCTTGGAGCGGTTAGCAAATAGAGCGCCCGGCTTGGATGTAATTATCACATTAATGCACTGGGGATTGTTTACATCTTTACTCCCCCCCCAACACCCAGCCTTAACAACAGCACAACTTCAAAATTGCACACTCCATATCTTTAGCGCACACAGCGCTTATGGAAGAGCAAATCATACTCTTCACAAACAGATGGACGCTTTATGATGTTATACATATAATTTGTATATGTTTTTTTTCTTTCAGAGACCCGATTCTCACATCACAATTCTATAAATTTTAAAGGGAAAGGGGGAAGGGGTGGGGCAAATGGAGGCGGGAATTGCTTTTACAACAGGGGCCCCGATGAGAGTTTGCTTAATCCATCCGTGCAGAAGGCTCTGAGCACGTGGTCTACACATTACTTTGTCATTTTCGGAACAAAACATTCAAGTGGCTTCACTTCTGGTCAAGGTTGTAGGGGACATAGTGGGGCCCCTCCCTGATTAACGCGGAGCACTGAAGAAGCTGTTGCTGTTTTGAACTCGTTGGCAAAACACATTTTTCGTCTCGCACAAACGGGGCACTATGTTCCTCGTGACTCTTGAGATAAGCATTTTAAATATATATAAATATACGCCTATTACAGCAACTAACCGTACCAATGTACCAAAACACACAAAATTGCTTAATACAGCATTTAGATGCAGTGGCGTCTCAAGATGCTGTAGAGAAACAGTGGGCATGTGTGTCGTATAGAGAGTAACTCTCAAAATGCTTTGACACGTGTCGTGACGGGTACTGCAAGATCTGACTATGTCTGTCCATTGGCTTCCAGTTTCCGAAAGAATACATAAGGTCGCACTCATTACACACAAAGTGCTTGCCACAAATGAACCACAATACCATGCGGATCTCATCAAGGAGCATAAACCATCACGTGAACTCCGATCATCCTCACAGTGGCTTGTGGCAGGCCATCAAACAAAGACGGTCACTGCATCGCGCTCTTTCAGATGCGCTTCTGTGGCCGTCTGGATCGCTCTTCCTTCCGATATTAGGAAGCCAATGGACCTATACACTTTTAAATCTAGATTGAAAACTAATTTCTTTAAAACTGATTTTTGTGTTTAGTTTGTTATCCTTCGCCCGCACTTTGGATTAGCAAGGTTAGTTATATTTTTTGATTTAAAGCTTTCGTGACTGCAGTAATTCATATTCTTAGTTTTTTTTCGATAAAGTCACGTTGAAGAGAAACAACAAAATAACAAAATATATAAAACAATAAAAAATTCTCACGACGTTTCGACCATAACTCAAACGGTCATCATCAGGTGTGTCGATTTGCATAAATTTATTTTTAAACGGCACATTTATTTATTTATAAAAACGTTGGCGTCACGCGCAGCGATTGGCAGTTTGCCCAGGACTAGTCCATCTATTTTTTTTGAAAAGAGGAGGGGGGAGACGAAATTTTTTATAATGTATGCTGTCTGAAAGCCACTGTAAGCGTGAACAATCAATCAAGAACTGAAATGATTTATCAAATCTTTCCAATGATTGCTAAGATAGAATCCATCTTCTCGGTTGAAATTGTCTCTGTGCTTGTATATGTGGATAGCCTCATGAACGAATCTCTCATGGAAGCCAGATGGCTTACAAAGAACCTCCGTCTTGGAAAAGTCAATGGCATGTGAGCCTACTGAATTAGAACAATGATCTGCTACGGCCGAGGTGTTGGTCCTACCGTGTTTAAGGTCTGCTTTATGTTCACGAATGCGGTCCGAGACATGGCGTTTGGTTTCTCCAATGTAACTACTACCACAGAGGCAACTTAGTTTGTAGACACCAGGGTATTGTATGTCCGGAATCACATCTTTTACAGATGGAACCAGATCACGGATTTTATGTAATGTGTTGAAACGGACCTGGATCTTGTGTTTATTCAAGATTTTGGAGATCTTTTTTGTGATCCCAGCAATGTAGGGTAAAGTGATGGTTTTGAAAGGCTCCTCAAGAGGGTTCTTCTTCATGGTTTGAGTGATAGCTTTGCGGATTGTATAGTCGGAGTAACCATTAGCCCTAAGAGCTTGGTGTACGTGCTTGAGTTCACTGCTTATGTGTTCCTGGTCGGATATGCATTGGGCTCTATGATACAGAGTCTTGATGAGAGAATTCTTCTGTGATGGATGGGAATCCGGTTTCAGATAAGCATCCGTATGGGTAGCTTTCCTGTAGACAGAGTGGCTCATTGAACCATCAGGTCTCTTTTTAATTAGGACATCCAAAAAAGGTATCTTGCCATCTATTTCGACTTCCATGGTAAATCTGATGGCTGGGTGTATGGAATTGATGTGGTCGAAGAATTGGTCTAGAGCAGGCCGGCCATGTTGCCAGATGACAAAAGTGTCATCCACGTACCTCTTCCATAAGGTTGGGCGCAGAGTGGCAGTCTGGATGGCGTCAGTCTCAAATTTCTCCATGAAAATGTTAGCTATAACTGGAGAAAGGGGGGAGCCCATTGGGGTGCCCTCAGTTTGTTTGTAGAAAGTTCCATTCCAAGTGAAGTATGTATTGGTTAAACAGTGTCTC